CCCGCAAGTTTTTGTTTACACTTCGTAATTTAGAAATAATGACTCACTATCAGAGGTCAATATTTATGGGTAACTTTGGACTTACGAACTAAAGAAACACAGATTCCCTTATGACAAAATGTTATCATGAGAAGGGGTCTAATCAAAACATCACTTCCTGTCTCTCACAGAATTCGGTATGACTGAATGACTCGAGGAATGGCACACATTTCTGAAAACAACCTAGAATTCAATGATTAAATTATGGGGACACATTCCCACGCAGTCTGATTATTTCACGAAGTATTCTCAGGAGAAGGCATTCACCGACAAGGACTCTTGAAGACGGCAGAGGGTCGGGCCGAAGCCAGGACGTAGTTCACCCAGGCATGAGCGCGGAGCGTCCGTAACGGATTGTTCGCGAATCACCTGTGTACAAACTCAAATTTTTACCTAGTACGAACATAAGTCCAGGTGATTATGCGCCACCCTGTATGCTCTAGGTGAGACCTTTTCATTTCTTCATCTCAAAGAGCAATCATTTTTCTAGTCGCTAGACTTTTTATATTTTCTGAAAAAAACTGTTTTCCTTTTTCCACGTCTCACGAACAACCAGTAACATGAAGCTTCTGAAGATACCAATCATACGATTTGAAGATGATTGAGAACAGAGTTCAAAAGTGAGTGAGTTGTTTGTTCAGAAAATTTTATTGAGATCAAAATACCAAAACCAGTTAGAATTAACACGTATTCTTCCGTCTTCGTCGCCTAACAACCACAAACTTATCAACAAAATGATCCTCTAGATTGTAGAATTCAGATTTCTTCTTTTGATCCGAACTTCCATCTGATTGATCTTTCTCGGATACATCATTGACATCGTTTCCATCAAGATCCTCAACCTCTCCATATCTCAATTCAAGTAGATTGTCCTTCTGTTGATCAACACGACGCCAGTAACAGACATGAGGCCCTAAATTTTTTTGTGAGTTTCAGATAAGCTGGTTTAATTTTATAACTTACAATCCCATCCATAGTTGATGCTTTTGTATTCCTTTTGAAGAAGTGCAACATAGTTTTTTGGAGCTCGAAGGAAATTGTATGCTGCAAGAAGCTCTGACGGTTCAGATGACTGTTCCTCATTCTCCTTTTTTGGTTTTCTGTTCTCTTCCAAGAAATGAGAAAACCTCTGTCCATATACTGAATCAATCCCCTTGTGGCTATAAGCATCATCCTTCGTCAATTCATGAACATCTTTAATCATGAATCTGTCCAGATATCGTTCAGGATCGGATGCGTAGCTCCAACTTATGAAGTTCCAACTTCTCAAGTTTACTCTTTCCAGAAGGAGAACTTTCCAACCTTCATTCCACTTCTGAACTTTTTCCAGAAGTTCAACTCCAATTGCATCTTCTGCTTCCCATCGCCGCTTCTTGTTCAGAGAATAATTGATATATGGAGCCATATCGGTATGCTCTTCTGCTTTGAATTTCAGATCATTTTCAGATTGCACATGAATCGATTCTAAGACGGTTCCTTCTTTTTTGAGATGGGAGAGGCAGAGCTCAGCGATTGAGTTTCTAATCCTATCCTTCTCAGCGGACGGTCTACCATGCTTGCTCCTGAAATCAAAAAATTAATAAATGTATTGTAAGCATGAGAAGTTCTCTGTTCAAAACTTGAATCTAGACAAAAAATAAAAATTAACTCACCAAAAATAAATATCGTCCATAATTGAGAAGAACAGTCGCCGCAACTGCTGACTCTCCTGGAAAAAACTGCATTTTTATTCAGCAGTTGTGGAATATTTCGCAATTCGTCATTTTTTCACTGGGTGTTTGTTTGTTTAGTTTCGCTATCAAGTTGTAGACAATGAGTTCGAAGATAAAATTTTGTGAATCATGGCACATTGTCAGATTTCTAGTCAGGATTTTCATGGCTGTTTGCTTATTTTGATCATGTATTGATCTCTGATCTGGTAAAGTCTTTTGTTTATTTCAATCGCAAATTTTTTCAATCGTCAATTTGAATTTACTGAACCCTTCAAAATTCTTGTTACAAAGCTGATTTTTATTGTTTATAGGTTCCCAGAAAATATCCTGTCTGGACCAACACTCAGAGAAAGATGTTTATTTTGAACCAATAATTATGATCAGAACAGTACAGACGAAATTTTCATAAATAGGTCAAAAAATTAATTTTGAAATAAGTTAGACTCCTTCATACTGCCGAGCTGGTGGCATTGGGTCGGTTTCATAGGTTCTTGCTGGACATGGACAGTATCCAGCATCTGATCCTGGATTTCCGCCTACTCCATTTCCACCTGGTGGTCCGATTGGTCCCGTCTCCCCATTTTTACCGGGAGCGCCTGCTTCTCCTTGTGAACCTGGTTGTCCATTCGACCCATCTACTCCTGGCTCTCCATCTTTTCCAGCTGGTCCAGCAGGCCCCGATGGTCCTACAGGTCCTGGAAGTCCACTTCCTCATTGTCCATTCTTTCCAGATGCTCCTACTTCACCATCGGTTCCTGGTTCTCCTGCTGCTCCTTGACCTCCTTGTGCCCCATCTTCTCCTGAAGCTCCAGGTTGACCATCGGCTCCGTTCTCTCCTGGGCTTCCGTCCGATCCAACTGGTCCAGGAGCTCCATCAGGCCCTGGTGGTCCTGGTGGTCCTTGTGGGCACACCGTGCACGAGGGAGTATCATAAGGATCTTTTGGTGCGGTGATTGACATCCCTTGATTTCCATTCTTTCCTTCCAAACCAGGCGTTCCATCTTCTCCGTCAATTCCAGCAGCTCCTGGGGGTCCGGGTGGTCCTGCTGGAAAATTGCTTGGCTGGTTACAATTGCACTTCTTCTCCGTTGAACGAGGAGAGCGAGATTTGGAATTGAGGTTGAAAATCGAAGACTGTCCGATTTCCGATGCCATCAGAGTCCATGCATCCGAAGAGTAATGCTGAAAATTTATTGATGTATTTACTCTGAACCAGCTCTTCCTATCAACGAATCTCACATTGAATGCTCTCATCCCATGGGAGACTTCTTCGGAAATTTCATTGATTTCAGCGAGAATAAAAGTGGAACATATCAGACTGCTCACAACAACAAGAGCCGAGATAGTGTAGATTCCAGTGAAGTAATGAATGGAAACCATGGTTAGCGGATGTCTTCTAGTTTCTCCGGCATCGTATTTATACTATGTTTCCATCCAACTTTGATCAGATATTATCTACGTTTCAAATGAAAAAAAAGGTGTGAAACGGGTGTGTTCACTCTTTTTTAGTTGCCGTTTTGTAGAGTTTATTAGAAACGGTCCGAGGGGAAAAACGATATTACATTCAACAAACTAATAAGACCTTTGGCAATAAAAAGGGATCGGGTGGATCTAGACATGAGAAAAAGGTTGAGATGGGTTAGAAAGAGAGGGGAGTAAATGATTTCGACGAAAAAGTTTCAAACGTTAAAACATTTCACTCCTCATCGTCTTCGTTGATGGTGGCGTTCGTACGGCTTCTGAAATTGTTGTAAACTAATTACGAAAACACACAAATTGAATATTACTTCTTCTCAATAGCTCTGACTAGAGTTCCCAATCTTTGTCTGTTTGTAACTTTTGTCTCTTCCAAAAGTCTTTCGTGCTCTTCCAAATCTTCTGGCTTAATCAATTTCATTTCAGCGTCTGAAAGTTTGAAACCAGCCAAATGAGATTTAGGAATGACATCTTGAATCTTGAATGAAGCTCTTGTATGTGGAACAGCTGGAACCATTGGAGCTCCGATCGATGGAAGTTGATCGGAGAGTTCGGAAGCCATCATATGAGCAATAGCAGTGTTTCTGTCGAGAACGTAGTTTAATTCTGCAATAATACATTTTGAAAATTTTAATGGATGACCAACAAATTACCAAAATCGTCATCGTCTTCTCCAAATGGATTCATAAGGTACTGTCCGACCTTCAACCAACCAAGGTAGAAAAGCATTTGGAAAGTGGTGAAGATTGGAAAAAGAATAGTAATCTCTTTTTCCATACTTCTCTGATCAAGTTTTGGTTGTCTTCCGATGAGACAAATGAAGAAATATCCGTATGTGGCAATGGCTACGACTTGAGTATACACCAATGGGATCTTGATCCAATCATAGACAAAAAGCATGGCGAACCCGTCACGGTAGCTGTATACCTGAAAATAATTTCAATTCTCAAATGTTCAGATTAGACCTCCAAGTACTTGTTTAAGAAGCATATCCATCTGAATTGAATCGATGACTCCCTTCTGTTTCTGTTTCTTGATCAAGTTCACAATCCAGAGAATTGGAATAAACCATTTTCCATGTGGCGCTTCCGTATTCATGTACAGATCGTATTCTTCTTCAGTCATTAGTTTCGATGCAACCATATGTCTTTCGGTTGGGAATCTTTTCAGCGTTTTCACTGAAACTCCAGACCATGCAATAGCCGCTTGAAGACTGCTCCAACGAGCGATTGTTTGACGAACAACAAGATTCTCGTTGCCGGGAAGACATGCAGAGACCATGATCATCATCTTATCAGGCCACGAAATGCAGTTGAATTGCTCCCACCTATGAGAAATGATTCTAGTAAGAAAAGATTTTGAGTCACATACCATCTGGCAACAATAAGAGAAACGAAGAAACCGAGCAAGAATGAAAGTGGAATGTATTGTGCTCCGATTTCACACCACATAATCCATCCGGTAAAATATTCTTTCCCTTTTTCATCGAGCAAATACCACTGAAAAAATGTAGCATTCTTCCTTTTTAATCTTTCAGTATATGTACGAAAAATTAAAAAGAATATTCAGTATGTTATGTACTGGAAACGGAAAGTTTCAAAGCCCATATGCCACGTCCCAATTTTCCAAATCTTGGATATCTGGGGGTCCAGAAAACAGTTCAAAGTGACGCCCAGATCCCCAAGATTTACAATTGGCAGTTGAAAACAGTGCGACTTTTAGCGCGTTGAGATTGTGCGCGGCTTTTGGAAAAAAAAACATTTGATTTTTACTTTGGACTGCTTTCTGGTTCCAGATATCCCAGATCTAAGAAGTTTGAAAAAAAGTACAATGTGGGAAAAAAACCATACCTGAAATGCGAGGACGATATAATAGGCGATATAAAAGCCAATGAGATCCTTTAGCACGGCTTTCCAAATGGATCCTCTCCATCGTAGCATCAACGAGGAGAACTCCTCGTCATAAGATATCGTCATCCTGTTCTGTTTTTTTACCTCTTCACTGAAAAAACGACTGGATAATGTTGGAAAACAAAGAAGTAAAAAGAAAATTAATTAGGTTAGAAAATAAATGAAAGACAGTAAGATGTGAAATGAGATTGAGCGTGAAAAAGAGAGATGAGAGAACGTCGCTTAATCGAATCGTCTTGAATGGGAAGTTGAAGACGTCGAGAAGAGAGAAAGAAAGACAGTGATAAGTGATAAACAACAAATAGGATAGGCAACACCGATCGGAAAGGGCCGAAGATTTTACATTCTTCAGGTGAAATTGGAAAAGGATATGGAGAGAGAGAAAAAAAAGTAACTATAATTGGGTGTTGAGTTGAGAAAACGAAATTAGAAGGGGAAGAAGAATACCTCCAGAAGAGGAAAGAAAATAGGAGAAAGTAGTTATGGCGAACGAATTGAGGAACTGTTTACTCTAACGAACTAGTTCTCCTGCTATTCATATAATCACTACCTCGACTCTACACTCCTCATCTAAATTCATTTCTCTTTTTCATTTTTTGATCTTCCTTGACTTTATTCAGAATTGCAGAAGACACAATGAATTGGCATCAGGAAAGGGTAACGAAGGGTTTTCAAAAAAAGAGAAGAAGTGCGAGAAACGATGTCCAATGATTGTAGTTGATTGGCGGGAATGTGTCTGATTTCCTCTTCCAACCACCTACTTTTAACATTTGCAGAGAAATTGTTGTTTGTTTCTCTTCTCCTCTCCTTTTTTGTCCATCTCCATCTGAATCAATCCACTTCTGATTCGGAGTCGACCTTGGTAGGCCCAATTGAAGACGAAGCGACAAAAGAAATAGAAGATCTCTCTCCGGTCTTTTTCTCGTTTTATGTTTATCACTTCAGGGTGATAAGTGATTGTGGTGGAATTGGAGAAGAGATAAATGACCGTTTTTGTTGTTTGGTTTTATTTTGTAGATCAAAGAATGCTTGTTAACATGCGAATACATGCGTTTTTCGGTTTCTCAAGAAACAGTAATCGATCAGTGGGGTCAAGTATTTCTGTTCCTGAGAATTAGAAAGGAAGTGCTGAAAAACTTGAATATAAACTCAATTAAAGTCAATCCGATCCTGCTCAATGATTCTGAGTCCAGTTGGAAACTTCAACTATTCTTTACCACTGACTCGAAAAGAAACAAAAATAGGAATAGAAGCAAAGAAAGGAAGAACCTGTTTGTCAAATTACTAGCCACAACTTAATTTGGGAATGAATTTGACGAAATAAGTCTTGAAAGACACCAACAAACTTCCTCTGTTTCGATGACGTCGAATTGAGAATAATTGACAAATGAGTGAACGTGACGTCGTTGATGGTTGAGAAGGTCTTCCCCCAAAGGATTGATTGAAGGAACAAATCTTTAGATTCTGCTTTGATTATCACAAAAATTAAGGATTAATTTTGAAGTTTTGTTGTGAAACTGTGGAAATACCTTTTTCCAACAAAGGCAGTTGATTTCTGTTCAGGGGCCGTATTCATGAACATATACTTTTGTAAATCATTTACTCTCAAAAATCAACTGAAAAACGTGAAAATTTAAGAGAAATCATTTACTTTTTGGTAAATAACCCTCTTTTTGGTAAATAGGGGTACCAATTTCGTTTGCTGTTTACAACCACTTCTTGAAAACTTTTCATTCCAAAAAAGTTATGTATGGAAAGAATAGTATTGTAACATCAATATTGTCTAACTTTAAACAGATATTTCGTTTAGGTTTAACTCGAAAATTATGACTTTTGATACAATTACATGAATGGATAGATCATTCAATTTAAAGTGATGTGTCAAAAAATGAACATTTTTCAGTTTGAAGTAGTTGAGAAATTCTAGTTCAAAGTCGTTTTCCTATTTAAAAAACAGGAAAACTAATTACAAATGATAAAAAGATTTTCAGTACATTTACACGCTTCCATTTACCTTTTGGTAAATGATTCAGTTGATTTTTTGAGAGTAAATGATTTACAAAAGTAAATTTCATGAATACGGCCCCAGAATTAATAGGAACCCTTTCATAATTGAAACACTGGTAAGGATATGAGCCTTTCTAATTGTCTGAGGGTCCGATACTATCACCTAATAGCCTCGTATCCTAATGAATACATTGCGTTGCAGGTTCTTACGTCCACCCATGTTTAGGGTCACAACTTGAGAGCTGTTAAAGGTATCGTTCTAATTTTTGAAAATCAGATTCGGGACAACAAATTAAATCAAGTGGACAATTTTTGTAATGAAACCTTGAAAACTATCCGAGCTATCTGGAAAAGTCTGAAAATTTGCCTTTTGCAACCGTTGCAATTTTATACGTCCACTCCAAAGATCAGTAGATCACAACCTCCAGCGAAGACGGAGGTGTCCAATTTTGATTCTTCCTTCTTGGAAACGGGCTTGGGAAAAGAGAAAAATAAAATGGAAGATGTAAAAAAAGGGATTTTATTCAAAAAAAAAATTAAAATATAGATATTCCTGAACATATCAACAAAAATTCTGAAAAATGACAAGTTTCAAAAGTGTACTGATTAGCCAGACTTCCGTCTGTTGATCCCTTTCGCCACGTAGAGGCTCAGTACATGAGAGGGAAAATGGGTTTTCACTGGGGGAAAACACTAACACAAAACCCCTGTCTCCGAGGAGACAGTTTTCCAATTTTCAATAGTTCTTTTTCACTCCTAAGAAGCTATACGATCGCTATTTATTGTTTTTTTTTCATTTGTCACTTTTTTCTTTGATTGAATCTTTTGCAAAAGGGGGACGTTCAGTGAAAATGAATTCACCTAGCCATGAACCACCAAACATGGCGACCCTGAGGGTCTTTTATAACTTTTTTCGCATCCGACCAAACGAAAGAAAAAAGCAAGTGTAACAATAAACAGCTTACGCAGGAAGCTTCAGGGCAGTCAAAAAGTGCTAGTGAAAATCATCAAACTAATTAAAAAAGTGGGATTTCAAGGACTGTTTTTTGCTTCAATACGTGGAATTTTTTCAACGTGGACAGAGGTAGGGGCGTGACCTTATATTGATTGATTTAAAGGTTTATTGCGTAAAGTGTGAAAAGTTCTAAAAACTCGAAAATTGAAAGTAGATTTACGTAACCCGTTAAAAAAGTGAAAAACTAAGAACAAACGAGTAAAAGTAGGTTAAATCGGGTCGAAGGAGCACCATCTCACGGAGATGCCAGCGGTAACCTCCGGAAAACGCGCTTTGTCGCACACCTCGAGTTCAAGGGCGTGGCACCATGCCAAATCATCATTTTTTGAATTGAAAATTCCAACCAAATTCCAAGCCAAATTTAAGCCGCGCCGCGCGGCGCAACGCGCCCCAGAGCACTGAGATAGATTTAAATGCATGTACACTCTTGCAACCCCGTGCCATCTGTTTTTTTTTATTTATTGGGCAATTATTTCGGTTCCTATAGAAGATACTCGAAATTTGTCAACTAATAAATGTTAGTGGTATAAACGGTGATAATTTTGTCAGTTACTTTTTTAGAGTGAAAATCATTCATGCTAAGGTTATTTTGGTAGTTCATATTAAACTTTAACACCTTCCCCAGTTGCACTTTTGAAAGAAGAGGAGACAACGCACTTTGTGATCGTCGGTAGGTGTCGGAGCTGGGACCATGATTGCTCTTTCGATGCCTGGATCAGCTTTGAGACATCTCTAACCCGTCCACTTGATGACTTCAAGTTTCGGATCTTGGTTGATACACGACTTATACGACTTCAAAGAGTTTAAAACTACAGTACTGGTAGAGGGTTAGGATCTTGAGGGCAGGATTTGAGCTGATCCTGTTTTTTTGTTGTCAATGTTCGGATGAGAAAACAGTCGAAATGACAGCATGAAGGATTTAGTTGCTTTCTGATAGCTTTTGGTCCATCCAGCTGCTCCAACTGCCCCGATTGAAGTTTTTCCCGAATCAGTCGGCAAACGATCCCCTTCCATGATACAGACTCAAAGAAAGAGAAACACTTAACGAAAACAACTTTTTACAGTGATTTTAGTTGTACAGAATCAAAATTGGAGACCTCCGTCTTCGCTGGATGTCGTGATCTACTGATCTTTGGAGTAAACTTGCAACGGTTGCGAAATGCATATTTTTAAACTTTTCGAGATAACTCGGGTAGTTTTCAAGGTTTCAATAAAAAATTTTCCACTAGATTTAATCTTGTGTCAAATCCGATTTTCAAAAAATTAGACCGATCGATACCTCTAACAGCTCTCAAGTTATGACCCTAAACATGGGTAGACGTAAGAACCTGCTACGCACTGCATTGAAATTATATGTGTGACTGTATTCAAAAAAAATTTAGGTCAAATCTATAGGAGTTCTATCGTAGCCTTATAGGAAATGTTGAAACTCTGATTCCGTAAAAACTGTAATAGAAGCCCCCTCCTCCCCTTAACGTTTAACTTTCAGCCAATTTTTCTCTATGCTGTCAAAAGTCTAGAAAAGGTGTCAACTGATAAATTGTTTATCATAATAGCTTTTATCAGTTGAAACATTTTCAAAATCTTGTAATTGAGATAAATGTGCACTAACTTGACATTATGGGCGCCCTTCTATTCAAGGTTTTACGATAACTATTTATTTTTCTCCAATTGACTTCCCGAATCAAACTACTATTGAAAAAAGAACTCTTTGAGAAAAATTCAAGTAAAAAACCACAGTCTTGTTTATCACAGAAAACGGAAAAATCTGAAACAATTCAAACTGAATCAGACCTAAAAACGGTCATTTCGGCTGATTCGTTACACTTGATTCGTCATTTCTGTTTTGATTTTTGTTCTGTTCGCCGGATCCAACATGGCCATTTCACCTGAATTTTACACTAACAATTAGTCTACTTACCTACATAACAGGTTATCAAGTAGTGAAAAAAGAGGCCGATCAAGTTCAATTTTCAAATTCTATATATAAAAACATATGAAAGACAGTTGAAACATCCTGTCTATAAGACATATCGAAATAATGGAGACCCGACTTGTTATAGTTTTATTGTTCCTGGTTTCGATAGCGTCAGCTGGATTGATTCAAGTGAGTTTTTAAATTTCATTATTAGGTTAAAAATAAAAATTGAAAGCTTTCAGAGAAGAGTAAAAAGACAATGGGGAGGCTGGGAAGGAGGTCCAGGAGGATGGCAGCAACCGGGATGGCAGCAGCACAATTGGAACAACAATATGAACAGAAACAAGATAGCAGCACAACAGCAGCAGTATAATGTATGTTGATTTCAAATTAATTACAAAAATTATGTATATTTTTCCAGTGTCAAACATCTGGAATCAACCTCATCGGACTTCCAATTAGCAGTTACAACTGCCAAAATTCAGGAATGTCGGCTCGAGTTAATACTTTACAACAGAGTCAACAAAATCAGGGAATGCTTCAAGGACCGCTTGGAGGAATCGGAGGGTTATTGAACAATTTCATGGGATGAATAAGATCAGATCAATATTTATTTCGAGTTTTTTAATTGTTGCTCATTCCTCTTCGATCTCTTCCCAATGACACAACATCCCGTTTTTGATGTTTGAATTAGTTTAAAATTCGATCGTTAAAGAAGACAAATGCTGAAAATAAATAGTTGTAATATTGAAGACGTTGGCTTGCAATCTTACCTAGGAATAATATTCGTAACGCCATAGGGACCGATGAGCATTCTGGCGTAGTCGAATTCTCGGAAATACTTCAATACTGAATCATAAACAAACGTCTTCTTTAATGGAACATCAAACTAAAAACAGAAATCGTTTTCAATATTTTGATATTTGTAGTATAACCTGGGTTTGATTCATCCCAATAATAGAAGCTTGGCCAGTTAGTTCCAGAACAATCAACTTTCCTCTGAAAATTGGTTTCAAGTCTCCACCAATCATATAATATTCATACCTGTCATCATCATACTCAAAAAATTCTGTTACGTTTTGAATTTCATGAGATTTCACACACTTATATTTTTGAATTTCTTCGCCAAACTCTTTTTGCAACTTTTCCAGGTATCCGTCTCTAATCGATTCTGGGAACGTAGGTGTGGCTATCTGAAATATATAATTTTCAACAATTTTCAATATAATTTGGCACCGATTTCATGCAAAGACACATTTTCTCAGAAATGCCCGCTGTCTGGCAAGAACCGGTAGTTGACTGCAGAGTTAGAGGAGACAGGTCCAAAGTTGTTTTCGGCTCCAGCATGTTCATAATTAAATTATAGGAATTGGCAGTTGTCAGTAACCTAAACTTAATTTCGATTCGCGAAATCGAAGAAAACTCTACCTGTAAGAGTTCAAGTGAAAATAATATTGCTCTGCTGGCAGAGATGGCCTAAGATTGTCAGACACTCTAATTGCGAACAATGGATTCTTTGAATTTAGGTCCATGGGTTCTCTGGAATTAATACATTACTGTACAGACAATTCGAATGATACTTACTTAACTGATGAATCATAACTTGTTACTATTAGCGTAGTACTTTTGAAAATTCCTTTCTGACTGAGCCTAGAGATCATTTCACTGAAAAAAAAACAAAATAAAAGTTAACAAGAATATCAATACCACCTCAAATCATAATCTATCAAACTTCTCTGACTACCGTAGTCGTCCAAAAAAAGTGCAGAGAAAAACTTGAAACCAGAAGTAGATTCCAAAAACGATTCGATGTTTTCTAGCTGATCATCCATTAGTTTCTGCAACTCCATACTTAAATTAAGAAAACTGAAAACAAAAACATACTCTTCCATCTTCAAGACATAAATTCTCATCGATCAGATAATCAGAAATAAGTTTTCGATGATCCGTGGTGTCATAATCTACATCAATTAAGTCTCGAATTTGTTGAGGTCCAGAGAAAAATGTGGTGAAATTTTGTTTCGTCGCTTTTTGAAACACACTCATGTCACTTGAAATTCCAAGTTGGAGGAGAAGATCGAGAAACGGTTTTTCTTGTTTCTGAAATAACTTTTTATAAATAAATTTCGGAATTTCAGCTTACCATATTCATCATCTGAGCAAACACAAACTCATTCTGTTTCATGAGATTTTTCGTTCTTGTCATTTTCTTTGTAAATAGCAAATGGTGAATTGAAGGAAGAAATATCACAGCCACAGACTCTCCTGGAACTTCCTAAAACCAAAATATAAAATTAATAAGATGTTTAAAAAACTCACTTTTGGAATGGCTGCAAAATTGACAAACGGTTTTACAAATTCAACAATTCCGTCTTTTTTACAAGAAAAAGCAAAATTGTAATGGGGAATTTGAACAGGAACATCTGGTAGAATCTAAACAATCTTCAATTACATTTTTCTAGATTGTTTACCACTACACTCACCTCAAAATATCTCTCTGATACTCCACTATGCTTATAATATGTGCACCTAAAATCAGATTGATCTTTTATTTTTCCAGAAGTCACGTTAGCATACCTAATTGATTTCAAAGTGGAATTGGTTTCCACTTTTGATCGAAATGTAAGAACACCTTTTGTTGATAAATGCACATATTCATTCAGTTCGTGGGGCACACAATCGTCTTCGGGACTGAAATTTATAATTGGTTTTTTCTTTTCTTTTTTTTCCTTAATCAACTTCTTATCAGATTCAAAGCTGACGTAAATTTAGAATGCACTGTTTGGAAGGAGCACCAAAGGCACACACGAGCTCAAAGTTTTTCAAAAACTATTGCTCTCTCGATTGTTTGATCTTTCATTACCGAGGAATGATCTTTAAATGATATGAGGAATGATCTTTAAATGATGCATGCATTATTCAGAAGCTTGGTTCAAGTTCCGTCTACCAAATTACGTCCCACGGGACCATCAACTATATAAAATGACCAAAATGAGCTTAAAACATAAATCAGATAAGATTGTTCTTCGATTTTATTATTTTTCGTATCTTTTTTCCTATTCCCAGGAACTGGTTCACCAAATCTAGTACCTCTAGAAAACAAAAAGTCAAAACTCAACAAGAAGATGTTGATTTAGATACTTCCTGTTTTTCTGTTTTTCTTTATATTACACAACCTTATTAATTTCAAAAAAACTTACTCTATTTCGTAGACTCCATCTTCCACATCATAGTTTGCAAAAAATATGAAGGGAAACTTACAATGGTTAGCCAGGAGCGTTCTTGTATCTGAAAGTTACCATCGAGTTTTCAACCATATTGAAAGATCATTATTTTGCAAAAATCCAGCTACTTTTTTCTAAACGCTGTTTCTCTTTTATTAGAAAACTTGATTATATACCTTGCATTGAGTAGGCGTACTCAAACGGGTAACTGGGTCCAACCATCGGGTTGAAATTCGCATTTTTAGTGATACCAACAGTGATCACAATAATTAGAAAAGCAATGAGCAGAAATATAAAACTTGGGAAAAAATGTTGAAAATCTTTTATTCTGAAAGACATAGTAGCCTACTATGGTCAGCTGTGTGTTCTGGATTGAATATAAAAAGGCATCTTCTCTTCATTTGAGATAGCAGTTGCGAACCAGTTTATGTATATGGTCGAGTAATCGACAGATCTAGGAGATTCGATGGAAAGAAACTGTGTAGTAACACGAAGAGAAGTTGATTCGTTAATGAACAAAGTTGAGCATGATGGAAATATGTATGGGAACCACTTGTTGCTTTTTGAGTAAGTTCTCAGCACATTTTGGTGTGAGAAAGGAACGTTGTGACAACAAATCGAATATTGTGAATTCAAGCGAAACCCCTGTTCTTGGTAACTTTCTAATACATTTTCATGCAGTTTCATTAAAGAAAAGGGAAAAGAAACATTGTTTTTGTCTGCCATCTGTTTATTGAAGGAACTAAAAACTTCCAAAAATGTAGATCAATGGATTTCCTTTTATCCATTGGCGTTTGAACTGTTTCCGTGTGCACCGTTTTCATGATTTATATTTTTCATTTTCTGGTTTATGCGAATGCTCTTCGTCATCTATTTCTTAGCATAATCTACCCGCTTATTAACCAAAATACTTGAAATCGAACCAATTTCGGTCAGGTGATAGTCAAACTTGTAGACGAATTCACGTTTAGTCTATCCTCACGGCTCAATATGGTTCCGTTGAACTGACTATGAGATCTCTGGAGATTTGCTTGCAATCTCAATCGATAAGTTAACTCCAGATTTTCTTTGTTTTCCAAACTGCTAGCCAAAAAGTATGACGAGAATTTAGACATTTTAGAATTTACAAGGTACAATTATTGGTGTGTTTCAGTTTTCCCAGTTCTTTGAAACAAACTTTTTTTTGAACTAGAGTTTACTTGAGTCAAATTCAGCAGACTTTCTTCCATTTATATATAGGAGGATACATTTATTAGTTTCTCATCTGTTCACTTATTCTGAGAATATCCCCTGTTTTGTTTCTCGCCATTTCAGAATAACAATTTTCGGAGGTCTCCAAGGATATCCAATTTCTGTGTAATTGTCGCCTCCCCTATATCTTCCTTTCCTTTTATTAGCCAATTGACTATCTCTTCTCATTACTGAATTTTTTCAAAGATCCCCAATCGAAGTAATGTCAGATAATATCAGTTTAACAGTTATTCAAACCAATGTAAGTTCCTCCTGGAATGTCTATGACAAGTTTCTTTTCTTCCAGACTTTAAATGACATAATTATCTTCCCAATATACTTTTATTTGTATTTATGTATCACATTGTTTAGTCAGATATCTGTTTTACTTCTCGTCATATTTAAGACTCCAGTCTTGTTTAAAGATTTTCGAATATTTCTGATAAACTCTTCGTCACTCCAGATTGCAATGTGCTTGGTGGTTGTTTTCACACAAGTCAGGTACCTTTTTTGAGTTAAAAATAAATTTCAATAATAATAATAATAATAATATATTTATTTGCAATGTATGGGGGGAAATCGATAGATAATTTGGCAAGAAATGAGACCTGTACAAATAAAAAAGTAAAATGACCAGACGGACCGACTAGAGCCCTGTAGGTCAAGTGGGAGGGATCAGAATATCATAAGGAATCGCTCCTACTCGCTTAGCAAACGCCACCGGACTGAATTTATCACCTTACATACACGGTTCCACATAGACAAATTTCTGTTAAGGAAGTCATCAATTGATATACAGAATTCTTCCGAATCCTAACTCCACTGGATACTTATTCAGTGGACCATGCCGATTTGTTCATAAGAATGCGTGCTTCTTCGGTTTGGATTTTTTCCAGGTATTTCAGTTTCTAAAAACCTTCTCTCCAAAAGTTTTAGTTCAATTTTTCAGCTTGTTTTCGATGCGTCATCTTTTGCTATCCCAGCTACTCTATATTACAAGTATAGTAAAGTAACAAACATAAATGGAAAAGATCTCTCTAGGAATCGAGTCAGACTGATCCTTGTCAGTTCTTATTTTCTGTCTATAATTGTGGGCGTAAGTTTTCTGTTGGATCGAAAAATCCTAAGAGAGTATAATAATATTCAGGTAATATATGTAATAACATACAGCCCAGACGAGTCCGTAGAGGTTTCGAATGAAACGAGGAAGCAGTTTTATCGTGAATACGATTTCTCTCGTTACGCTGAAGTCACAGGGTATCAAACTCATTTTTGGAGCTCACTAACCAATAATCTAAACATGTTGAGCATCTATATACCGCCAGTTATGAGTATTGTTTTTATAAGGTTTTAAGAAATTGAGAGGAGAGGAAACAAAAACAAACTTTTACAGATTTATTCAGATCAAACTGAATGGTCTCAAACATCTTTTCACGGACAAAACCGCAGCACAAGCTAAAAAGTTCGATCTTGCACTCACAATTCAGACACTGGTTCCCGCTGTATGTGTCATTCCAGTATACACGTCACATCTGGTAATTGAACGCTACCGTAAGTTTCGAACAGAAACCAAAAAATGAAAAAAGGACATATTTTAGAATTCTGGTTCATGCCTGATTTCGAGAAGATTCTCTACATAATGCTTTCTCTTCCAACAGCAATTGACGCCTTCATAGTTATCATTACAATTACACCCTACAGAAACGCATTTCTTCTATTTTTCGCGGGAATCTTCTGCTATTCGAAGCCAACAACACCGCTACCTCCATCCAGACGCATCAATAACTCAGTTGCTACCTCTTTATTTTGATGAATTCCAGTTTAAAGATTACTGGTCAAGATATTTTGAAATAAATGATTTTCTAATTCAGTTCAAATGCATTTTATGTAGATGTCTTCAGAATACATTAGACACAAATCACGTAGTGGATCTCCATGCTTTCCAGAGTCTCATCCATTGATGTAAACACAATAAATTGTGTTGATCTCTAGAAGGACACAGTTACAAGAGACTCAGACGCTTGAGAAGTCACAAAACTGTTTGAATGTCTATCGTCTCTTCAGTATATTTATCGAACTAATCATCTCTCATTCAACAGTTTTGAAATGTCCATAGTCACGAAAACTACAAAGCTAGAGTATCTGGAATACACGACATCTTATATAAAAGGTGGTATAATGGACCTAATGCCAAGTTCTTACTCAACTGCAATCCTCTGTCTACTATTGAAAAAATGCCTCGTTTCTCCGGAAAAACCGTCATTGTCACTGGATCTTCGAATGGAATCGGAAGATCAGCTGCTCTGATTTTCGCTCAAGAAGGAGCTCAAGTTACCATTACTGGAAGACATGCCGAACGTCTTGAAGAAACCAAACAACAACTTTTAAAGGCAGGAGTTCCAACTGGAAACATCAATTCGGTGGTGGCAGATGTTACTGAAGGATCTGGACAAGACCAAATAATCAGCACCACTCTTTCGAAATTCGGAAAGATTGATATCTTGGTGAGTGGTTTGAAACATTTGACTTACCGTATTTCCTCTAATTGAAGCCCATGGGCTTCTATTTTTCAACCTCCTTTTTAGGAAATTACCAAAAACTGAAATTACCAGACATTTTTTGAAATAGAAAGAAAATGTCTATAATAACCGAATAGACGAACTGAACTGTTCAAACTGCACTAGCTGAAATGCCCTTACTTCTGTTAGAGGATGCGTGTCTATGTTTTTAAGCACGTCAGAGGGTGGGCTTCTGTTACAGGTGGGCTTCAAATAGAGGTGGGCTTCTATTAGAGGAAATACGGTATTTTCAAATTTTATTTGCAGGTTAACAATGCTGGAGCCAACTTGGCAGATGGAACCTCGAATACAGATCAACCAGTGGAATTGTACCAAAAAACGTTCAAGCTGAATTTCCAAGCAGTTATCGAAATGACTCAGAAAACAAAAGAGCATTTGATCAAAACCAAGGGAGAGATTGTCAACGTTTCTAGTATTGTTGCTGGTCCACAAGCGGTAGGTTAATCTTTGTATTTTTAATTTTGAGTTTTAGGAATTCGAATTTTTTAAATTATCGAGAATCTTTTCAGCACCCTGGATATCCATACTACGCTTGCGCTAAGGCTGCTCTTGATCAATATACACGATGCACAGCAATCGACCTCATCCAACATGGAGTTCGTGTAAATTCCGTCAGTCCAGGAGCAGTTGGTACTGGATTCATGGCTGCGATGGGACTCCCAGAACCAGCATCTCAGAAGCTTTATGACTTCATGGGATCCCGAAAAGAGTGTATTCCAGTTGGTCACTGTGGACGTCCAGAGGAGATTGCTAATATTATTGTGTTCCTTGCTGATAGAAATCTCTCTTCTTACATCATCGGACAATCCATCGTTGCTGATGGAGGTTCTACTTTAGTTATGGGAATGCAAGCTCATGATTTGATGTTTATTCTTAGTCAGTAATTCAATTCTAAATGTCAGTTTTTATATGATAGAGATTCGAAGATATTCATTTTTCAAAACAAAATAAAAATGTTAAACAAATTGAGGTTTCAAGAAAATGTTGCTCTTTCTTCTTTCACATAGAAATACAAGAGTTTCAGCGACTGTGAGTAAAGTGGCTCCGACATATAAACCAATAGTACCTCCAATTTCGGCTGAAAGGAAATAATTGGAAAACGAGTTTAAAAATACTTACCAAGAAGTAAAAACATGTTATATGATCTTTCTTGCAGAATCGTTTCTTGCTTAAAATGTGCAAAATAGAATTTTATGTGCAGGAGATTCACACTGAAAATCAATAATTCAAAATTCTCATCGTAACTAAGATGTTCTACTAACACATCATATTGATGGGTTGGTGAATAAGATTGAGCCATCAGGACTTGGTTTCGTAGCCTCGAAAGCCATTCTCCTCTGATGAATCGACTTTTCTGAATAAGAGAACGAACATCAAAATTGTTTTTTACTAGTTGAATCTCACTTTCAAAATTGGAGCTTTTGTGCTCAGCTCTTCCAAACACTTTGAGAAATTTGAGAACTTTTCACTGAAACTTTCATCTGCTGAAATTCCAGTTAAGACTGCAAATTTCCTTCTACTCTCAGTCACTGCCATGAATGTTTCAGATAGTTCACTAGCCAGTTTTGGGATATCAGTTACCATTGTTTTTCTTAATTTCAGCATTTCTTCAATTTCCACATGATCCTTCGCAATTTCTCGGTACAATGACTCGAATTCTTTCAAGTCAATATTGAAATCTTTCCAATCATTCATTCTGACTCTTGTCTTCATCACTTGAAGTTTACTCAATACTTTCTTAACGTATTCCGTATAAGTTTTGAAAGAATCTGATGAAGGATTGGTTTTCGTGTGCACATTCGATGCTTCGAGTAATGGCTGGTAGTGACTTTTGAAAATCTATGAATGGAAATTGAGAATCATTCAGAACTTAAATCTCACCATTCTACAGTCATCAGCAATTTCCTCCACTCTTTCTAAGTTATCGTACATTTTCGTCACACAATCTCTCACTTCCGTTATCAGTGGATGAGCTATAATTAATGCATTTTTCTATAATAAAAAAAACAAAATACTAACCTAGTTCCAGCACAACTCTTCTTGTCGTTTCATGCATCATGGTCAATCCGTAATTGAAGTTTACCCTTCCAAGAGAATGTTCAATTTGTCCTAGTTGAAGAAGAGCAATGGAAGCCAGAGTCATATTGACTACTGGTGTAACTGTATCATCAATCTCTCCTTTATCATTCAGAGCTAATCCAAGGCATAGAGCAGTACTATTGAGTTCCCTAGCGAGTGAATGTTGAAGATATCTGAAATACAAAACGATTTCAGGTAACTCGTAATATTAGGTTGAACAGAACGTTTCTTCCTTTTTCACAGGGCTGTTTTTGAGGCTCGATTTCTGGTTCTAGAAGAGGTGTAGTGTTTTTCTGGTTCGAGAAGAGGTTCAGTGTCTATTAGATTGTAAATTGGTTAGTTTTTCTATTAGATTGTAAATTGGTTAGTTTTTTGATTGTAAATTGGTTAATGAGTATTCTTTTGGCCCTTATCCGACTGCACATAAGCTACGTGATTATTACTTTGTTTTTATTTGATCTTCAAATACCTGCTATTCGCAAAAAAATGATGAATGTATATAAAGTACATGCTCCGTCATCGCCAACAATTTGCATTTTGTTCGACAGATCCCTTTCGGGGGAGTTCGGTTTGAAAGATGCCAACGGCCCAGTTAGTTGGATCTCGATCCATTGCTAAAAGTCGTGAAGACGGATCTATTTCAAACTATTCGTAAAATGTCAAAGGCATTGTACGTTAGTCAAGCAAGTATTGTGAACGGATCGAAGTATCTTGGCGAAGTCAAAAAATGAATCGATTCGTACCCCGTGTTTTGAAGGATTATGATATGGATCTCCGTGTGGACATGAGCATGTTTCTCCTATCATTTCTTCACACGTTCAGTTGGGTGGATGATCTAATTAGTATACATGAGAAGTGCTTAAGTACTCTATCAATGTGCAAAAGGGTCAGTTGATTAACAAAGAACAGCTAGCTCTGGACATCTCGGAACCTAAATTTTACGTGAAAAAGGGGATGCATTGTGGTTGATGGTCTGTCAAAGGAATGGAGACTGGGAACTTTTAAATGAAGGTATCATTATAATTGCCGTCTCGTATAGGTCCTAATTAGAAAAATTAAATTTGGCAGTCGAAGCAAAAAAAGGAGAAAAACCCAAAGTTCACATCCAGCGCGACAATGCGAGATCGCCCGTGATTAGAGGGATCAGCCAAAAATTCATGTCGCTTAGCTGAATTATTCTTTTGCATTCGTCGTATTTGCTGGACCTTTCCCTTCCAGATAAATCCTCTTTTGAGACTCTTAAACGTCATTTTGATAGAAAAGACTTCAATTGAAAAGATGACACCAAAAAGGAGTTGACCCACTTTCTCAATCGCCGCTCTCCTCGTTCTGGTCCCATGGAATTAAGAAATTACCGAAGCATTGGCAGACAACTATCGATGCTTATGGACGTTATTTTCATTCATTTAGCCTTCTCCCCTTTGAGAAAAATTTGACCAAAAAAGTTTCCAAAAAAGGAAGAAACTTTCTGTTCAACCTAATAAATACCAACGTAGTGATTCTCTCCCAAGTGGGCTCATATGAGTAGAATTGATTGATGAAACTTTCGTAACTTCGACCATCTATAGAAAGACATTTCACATCGTTGAACTTGTCCGAAACTCCGAATATCTAAAGTAAATTTTTGAAAAGCTTATTTCACCGAATTCTTACTTCCGAGGCTTCTTTGACAAACAATTGTAACTCATCAGCGAGTTGTTGAACGTTCCGCACAACTGGAATCATTCTGTTCGGAATAACTTCTAATGCTTTCTGGTAAGCAGTTAGACGTTTTTCTTTTGTATCTTCCCAGTCACTTGGAAGCATTGAAACAATCTCCGAAGCACTCTGAAATCAGAATAATTTTTTAAAAGAACTTCTAAGAATCCCTACCAACTTTCCTCCAAACACAATTGACGAAAACGATATATCTTCACAGTCATCCGGACATGTGGTGTCATCAATATGAGGACGAATGTTCTGAATATTCAAGTTCGTCGCGTAATCAGATTTGAGGGGTCTCACCAATTTTTCTTGAACACATTCAATTTCCTGTCTCAAAGTGCATCTCGGAATTTTCCTCTTTTTCCATTTTTTGTATTTCTTTTTTGGAACCTCGGTGGAGTTGTCGACTTGGTCATTTTTATTGTCAAAAACTCCTCGATAAATTGGATTTCGAATCGGGATACATCCACATTCTTTTTCAATTTGTTTTACACTAACGGACCATTCACATGCTGCTTTTGAATACTCTTTTTCAGAGAAAGATTCCATTTTTGTAGATCCGCAACTACTTTCATGTAGACGGAGTTTTCGAACTTCGTTCACTGGAATAGTAACCACTTTTCCTGCTTCCAGATGTATTCCTTCAGAATAATGAGAAAGAGAACTGGCTCCGTCATAAATCGAAAGGACGACACCTGGTTCAACAACAGTTCCTGAAAATTAATATTATGCGAATTTCAAATTTATCATTTTAATACCAGGTATGATTTCGTGTACTTCAAGATTTAGAACCAAAGACAGTGTAGTTTCAGGTCCAGGTCTTAGAATGGTTTTATTCGGGGAAACAGAGTAGCATAAACCATACGGAGTGTACATCGGACGAATCTCATCTTGGCAGGAACCACTCTTTCCAAACTCGCAGCTGAAATGAAAATTTATGAAAATGGTAAAATTATTTAGAAGTTTTTTGATACCTAACAAATAAATCGTCCACCGACTGAATAGAATTTCGATACAGATCCAGAATATCCACATCATCAAACTTGTCCAGTTCATCAAATCGGGTTGAATTCGAAGTCGTTTCATCTAGAACACTGCACATTCCCCGCAGTAGATCTGGATTCTTCGAAGCAACAGAAGAAGCTCTAAAATGTCAGCTTTACCTCTTGATCTTCTACTTCTTTTCACTTACTTCAACTGCATCTTATTACAAACTCCAATTGTTGGAAAATACATGTTTGAAAGTGTCTCATAACTTCTTCTCGTCGTTAATGGATTCTTGATAAAGTAATAGTTGACCCGTTCGAAAACTTGATAAAATGTCAATCCAATGAAAAAAACGACAACAAATCCCCAAAGAACTCTGAAAAAATAGGTGAATTGTGATTCGTGCATTGGAAGATATTTTTATGACGCAGTTATGAAATTCAAGATGTTCAAGGGGGAAGTGGTGGGATGCAGGAGAGGGTGGAAATCTTTTTTCTTTTGTTGAAATTGGCACGTGAACAAAATGTGATCTAATAGAATGGTACCTGGGCAAACGCAAGAATGGTACTTGAATAATCTCCACCAAAAAATGCAGACCTTTTGATAACAAAATCTTCTGCGATTGTTTAGATCAAAAATGAGCTTGAACCCACTCACCGAAACCACGTTTTGTATCTTGTATGCAGATATCTGAAACCTAACATTGAAGTGTCTTCAGCAAAACGATCAAGTGCTGGAATATATACATCCATACTTGCTGTCTCCTCAATAAACTGTTCCACCTTAATCTGAAAAAGTTCGAATTTCAAAAATATTTCAAACAGGAATTACCTTTATTGGAGATGTGGCAGTAACCATAGCGTCAACGTCTTCAGACCTTCGTTTTCGGGGCATTCCTCATGAATCACTTTAGAGAGACTTCTGGATAGAAAAAGTGTGGCGTCGTCTTCGTGACCAAATGGCATCTTTGTAATCGAGATGCTGTCGACAGGAAGTATTTCTGTTACATCGGTTTTTCATCACAGCTCTCCCCTTCTCCGCCGTTTTTGACTTTTTCAATCTGTGGTGTAGTGCATGAAGGAGATTGTCTTTCAAACTGAATAAAAAAGAAAAAGAAAATATAGTTGTGCTTCTTTGTAGACTGATTTGAATGATTCGCACTAAAAGAGAATGGAAAACGAGATCAAGATCACATTTCTGAAGAAGATAAAATAGAGTCTATGAAGGAATTCAAATGGGAAGAATGGAGCATATGGTAAATGTCCCTATGAAAAGCGACTATGGTATTATCTCACAAAAATCATAACTGAAAGGCGGGATTTACGGAAATATGATTTGAAACAGTTCGGATTTTTTTCAGGATTTCTTCCCTAACAATTGTGAAAAGATATATATTTCTTATAAAACAGCAGTGATCACTTTTTTTTCTGTTTTTAATGCTAGTAGACTGAAACCCCTTGCCTGTTCACATCGGCTCTCGATAAAAAATACAAACCATGTTTACTAATGAGACTGAAATATCTAACCTAGAGGTTGGAACAAATAAAATAATTCAAATAGAAATTACGATAAGGATGTGATTTACAGAAAAGTACGGTATCGGCTAAGTTACTAACTGTACACACACAGGTAAGGCGGGGTTGCCGAAAAGCGTACAAACGGCGGCTGAAAATCTAGGGATGGGCTGTAACTTAACAAGAAGTAGGAAAACACATAAATTAGCAATCGGATCCATGAAAAAAAGTTTCTTCGTTAAATTTCCGTTTGAAAAGAGAAATTCCTGAAATCCAAAAACGGATTTTTCGGTAAGATTACTAATGATTAGATTTCTTACTTTTTGTCACAATTTCTAAATCACTCGCTCAAATACGCAAGTTATAGCCAACTCTTAGATCTTCAGCCGTCGTTTGTACGCTTTTCGGCAACCTCACCTTACATCTGCACTCTAATAGAATGCTTCCAAAACTTTGAGCAAATATATCTTATTTTCTTCAAAAGATATCAAAAAGTGGTCAACTGACAAAATGTTTATTACATTATCACAAATATTTTGTCAGTTGATCACTTTCCGATATATTTGCAGGAGCAGAGATAAAGTGGCTGAAAGTTGAAAGATAGAAGTGTCGTTCTATAAGAGCATTTACAGTATCGAAATTGTTGTTGTGAATTCGGTTTTAGATTATTTAATCTCTCCTTCTTCCTGATTGGAAATCGCTGTACTATCGTTTTTACCCAATTAATTTTAAAAATGCCAAATTAGTACTTGCTTTCTCCCACTAGTGACACACTGTCTATTATAGTCACTGGAAATGACGTGGCATTTCCAGAAAAGGAGTAAGAGGCATGCTCTCACTCATTTGGGTCGCTTTTCGGGTCACTTTTTCTCTTTCTCCACATCTATAGAAACTGAGTTATTATCAGTGAATTTTCGTCGGAAAGTGTGCTAATCCGTTCAATGTGTACATGCGCTTTTCTCTGTCATCGAGCAGGCTGTAAGCGTTATTTGGACAAGGAGCGGCAATGTTATGACCGTTTTCGGGCCGAGAAAATTGAAGAGATTCTGCCAATTCTTTATTCCAGTTACGAATGTTTATGTGTGTGTGTGTGTTCGTTCACAGACGCACACACCAAGTGGGGGGTGGAGACTGTACTTTCTGACACTTCCATGTATGCTGAAACATGACGCATCCGACGGTGACAAACTTTTAGACATTCTTTGCTTTTATTTCCTTTCTCCCTTCTGTCTGATTTATTCTGGTTGAAATCAGGTTGGTGATAGTCATCGAAACGAGTAAATCTCATCCTAATCTGGTTGCATTTTCAATACTTTTTGCTACCGATTTGGTTTGGGATTGGCTTGTCTAGTATTGACATTTTATTGATATACTGAATTTTTTGAAATCATCTCTCCTATGAAATGTGAACACTATGAAATGTGAGGGAACTTCAACCAAGCCAAAAACTATATAATCTCCAAGAGCACATGACAATTCCTGAGTTTTATTTTTGGATTGTTTTTTTTTTGGGTATTTCTTTATATATTTACGATGTTTCAGATGACCCGGATTGCAATATTGGTCACTGAAACGACGAGTTCCGAGAAAATATCCTCAATTCTGTCGGAAAAAAGTTTTTGTAAATTGAGTGCATATCTAAAAATATTTGCAGGTATCCAGCGACCATATTTTAAATTTGAATTCAAACTGTTCGAACGAGAATCGTACATTTTTCAATAGTTTGCCTCGAAAGCTCCAGAGAAAAACAACTAATAACCAATTCCACCGTAACGCAATCGTTGTTAATCGGTGAAAGTTTTCAAAGCATGTGACTTTAAATGTAAATGTAGAAGTTTTTATAGTTTGTCTTGGTACTTTATTCCTTCAAGATTATTATATGTACAAGGTTTTTTCCAAGTTAAATTAAAATATGGTTTGATATTTGAAAAATCATCAGTTTGTCTTAATTTATTACCACTCCGTCCGTGGCACCGAAAAGTGAATCCAATCGAAAAGTTATTCACTACAGTACTCATTGTATTTTTCATCTCGTGGTGAGACCAGAAACACTAATAAAGAGATGTGCCTTTAAAACTAATGTTTTCTTTTTCAAATTTGCTTCCAATCTGTTCTCAATTTTAGTTGTTCCATGAGAATTTGCATTGAATTTCTTTATTTTTTTTTCTCGCTTCGTCGCCATGGCGCAAAGTATCATCTATTGACACATTTCTGTCGGCAGCTGGCGCATTTTCCAGTTTTCACTGCACTCGTTCGCTTCTCCGAGTATGTGCGTGTGTGCCCTCTATTCGACCGCATCTTTCGATTGTTTTCCTCTCCGCTTGTCTCGCTTCTTCCCATCCGCGTGGACGACGACGTTGAAGAGACAAGAAAAAAAAGGACGGGAATAAAAAGGAGCCGTCACTCGAAACACTTTTCCTTGTTAAGGGTAGACGGTGACGGCGCGAGAAAACACCACAAATCTGATTTCGTCATACCTCTTTTCCCATGTTTAACTGTTATTTATTCCTATTTCTTTACTTGACCATTTTGCTCTAATTCGCTCATGACTATTTTATTTTGTTCTTCGAGAAAATCATGCAAAAGCTACGGCAAAAACTTATATAGCCGCAGATATTTCGATGCTGTTTGTTTCCATTCGTTTTCTAAAGTTCAAGACTGATAAAAGAACATGAGTTCAAATGTTTCATGACTTAAAATGTAACTGTGACAAAACTTAGTGATAGGGGAAATTATCACTGCCTATGCCGAATCTGTCGATGCTTGCTTCTCTACTTTTTTTTCAATTTCTCTATTTTATGTTCTCAACATGAATTTAAACTCAGTAGCTGTTCAGTTGAAGACTGAGTTGTCCACGTGATTCCCCTCATCTTGACCCCAAATGTTCTTCATGATTTTCTCAACTGCTTCCTCGATCTTGAGATAGTTTCTGTACGTGAGAGAAATGATGTCTCACATACTGCTACCTCTTGTAATAGTGCACTCTTTTTTCTCAAAAATGCACTGGTTGCATGATCTTTTTTCTCAAAATAGTTATCAATTTCACTCCTCCGTCTTCCACATAGTGTCTTTGTGCGAAGTTGATTTGCTATCCTGCTGTCCATGAAGACCTGAGTTGTGTACATTCAAAAGTCGCAAGACGCTAAAATCGAACTCTAAAAACCAACCCATCGCGATTCGTTCCGCCCACTCCTCGTGAGGTCGCGAGAAAGAACAGTAGTGAGTATTTAAATATATATATATCGTCGTCATCTCCCTCGTCGTGGTGTTTTTCTCTTCACTAAAATTATCCCTGACAAGAAGAAGAATGATGGTTTCACATGCAGATTTACCCATCGCGTCTTCTACGGAACAGAAGGCTCACGGACGTCTCAAATCGAAAACGTTTGCTCCTGAAAATCGGCAAAAAGCGGCCACGATTACTTCGCTATCTATTTTCGGAACTCCTTCGGACCAAGGTAAAACAATTTTTTCGGTGCTAGTGGAGGAATATACATGGATGTCGGTTTTGTATTGTGTAATCTACCCTAGATATGTGAATCTAACCTAATATGTTTTTTTTGACCTTTAGTGGTAGTTCGTATTTTGAGTGTATACTAAAATTTTGTTTGCCATCGATTGTATCAAAAATGATGTCATCATGTCTTTCCATAGGTAAGTCGACTCAAACTTCAATGGTTTTCACGTGTGTTCTGACAGCGATAATTGCTAGTTTCTCTGCTTTTCTCGCTCTCGTTTTCTCTCTGTATCTCGGTCATAAACGCTCTTTTTTTCTTTCGGCCTTTCCCCACCAATACCCATGTATATTCTTCCAATTTTACATAATTTGCCATGAGTAATCAATGCATGAGTTGCTTTGTTTTTTGAAGCAGAAAACATTGCCTCCAAAAAGTTTTGTCTCTGCCTTTGTCCAGTTTCTGTAGCGATTTTTTTCTGAAAGTTTCCAACTGTACTTCATTTTCAGAGTGCCAGCCCATTCCGGTGGTACCTCGAAGTAGTAGTAACGACGAGCTTCGTGTTTGGAGAGTGACCAGTGCGGGTTTGGTGGAAGTTGACGCAAAAACAATGGGAGCCTTTCTCGACAAACCGAAGACCGACAAAACTAATGTCCACGGAGAAGGAAATGTAAGTGTTGCAAAAAATGTTGAGTGAAAATGACAACAAAATAATCATGTGTTCAGATCGTTTTTATGAATTTCTTTAATAATGAAAAAATAGTAACATTTGCTAATCTAGTAATATTAGACGGTCAACTAAATCATTGAAATTGAATAATCAGATAATATTTCAGGGAATCAAGTACGGAATGTCGTCGATGCAAGGCTGGAGGATATGTATGGAGGATTCACACATTGCCGAAGCAATCATGTCGCAATCTTCCCCTTACAAGGATTGGTCATTTTTCGCGGTTTTCGATGGACATGCTGGTCACCACATTGCCAATCGTGCTTCCTCGCAGCTACTAGAGCACCTTATCACCAGCGACGAATTCCGTCAGATGACAAAGGCTCTCGAGGAAAACAACGGAACGCTCACCGACAGCACCCTCAAGTTGCTCGAAACCGGAATTAAGAAAGGATTTTTGAGCTTCGATGAAATCAGTAAGAGCTCAGAAATTGTGAGTACCATTCGTATCAGCATAGTTTTCAACTATAATTTACAGAACAAAAGTGGATGTACCGCTGTTTGTGCCATCGTCACCCCGACTCACATTATCATTGGAAATCTCGGAGATTCTCGCGCAGTCGTAGCTGGGAAGAACAACGTTTTCGGAACAGAAGACCACAAACCGTATTTGGAAAAAGAACGTAAACGAATCGAAGACGCAGGAGGCTCTGTTATGATTCAAAGAATCAATGGAAGCCTCGCTGTCAGCAGAGCTTTCGGAGACTACGAGTACAAAGATGATCCGCGTCTGCCAGCGGATCAGCAACTTGTTTCTCCAGAGCCCGATGTATACATTATGAAGAGAAACATTGAAAACGATGAATTCATGGTTGTTGCATGCGATGGAATATACGATGTGATGTCAAACGAAGAGCTTGCTGACTTTGTACGGGATCGACTTGTCGTTCATGATGACTTGCGAGAGGTGGAAAAATATTTTTAAAAGATTTTGATTTTTAAAATTCAATTCAATCTATGAAGTACTTTCAAATAGCAATGTTTCAGGTTTGCGACGATGTACTCGACGAGTGTCTGACAAAAGGAAGTCGGGACAACATGACGATGGTTGTCGTATGTTTCCCAGCTGCACCACCCGTGAATGTTCATCGGAAGGAGGCAGAAGAAGCTTGGGTGGCTCAAGTGAAAACCGTCATTAATCAGTTCCTAGACGACACAGTTGCCGGTGAAGATTTCAAAAAAGAGGAGGACATGGTCACTCTGAAAAGCGTATTGGACAAAGTGACAGCTAAGGGACTACTGCCAACAGATTTGCGTGTTCCGACGCACACAGTAACTACTCTGGCCCAAAAGATTCTCACACAACGCGACATCAAACACGTGTAGCTCATCTAAATACTTAAATTTCCGCAGTACATTCACCCAAATTTTTATCCCGCTGCTTTTATCACTTCTACTTCTCATCGCTCCAATAAGGTCAAGGCTGTGCCCTCTCAATTGAGCACTTCTTTCAAACGTTATCAATCCTATACCAAGAATTGTTTCAATTGAAAAACGACGTGCCAAGTGTTTTTTCTCTTTCGTACTGAAATCATCCGTTACTTCTCTGTTAAATGCATCCTTCTCATCAAAACTCATCGTTTTAACTATTCGGTGTATGCTTCTTCTTCTTTTCGATTATGATTTATACAGTCGTTTTGCTTGAGCACCCAACATCACCCCTTCCACCCTCATCCACGGAACCTGTTTTCCCTTCTTTTTTTTCAAAACCGAACCAAATATTATATATACGGATTCAACATTTCCATCGTTTGTACTATTGTTTTTAGAAAAATGGATAGAATGAAATAAAAGTGATGTGTCAAAAACAGCTTATTTTCCAATTACTGCTCACTACGCAAATCTCACATAAGGCTTCGAATTTCATTCACTTCTATTCAACATGCGTCTGGCTCTTGTCCTGGCTCTTGTATCCTCCCTACAGATTTTTCAACAATCCAGTGTGGATCCGAATCAGTTCGATACAATTTGGCAAGCTTCTCTCGTAACAGCAGCCTTTCCTATCGGGAAGTTCATTGCAACTTGTCTTCTCTCATTTAACAATGTTAATCTTCACAGTGAACTTGATAGATGCGCCCGGCTTCTGATTGTTGGAGCTGTGATTTCAGCAATTCCAATGTAAGTTTGCTGAGAGGGACATTCCATCCCAACACCAAGAATTTTAGTTTTCGAGTTCTATTATCTTTTGTTGGACGATTCATAATGGGATATTCTGCTGGTAGTGGATTTGTCTGTGCACCTGCGGTACTTCGAATTTCCGTTCCTGAGAGTTTGCGCCCGGTGAACTTTATGTTTCTAGCAGCTGCATTTTCTATGGGGACTTTTCTAGCAAATTCAATTTTTCTAATATCTGATCTTATTCCACCTAACATAATTTCTGCAATTCTCACTGCTGCTGCAGGTTTGTTTCACACTGATTCATTCATTAAACATATAGTAAACACTCTAATAGAGTGTCACCCAAACCGTCAACTTTGATCCCATTTATCTCATTTCCTGTGAAGGATATCAAAAACAAGGTCAAGTAACAAAATGTTTATCATAGTATGAAAAATAATCGGTCAGTTAACCATTTAGAAATATCATTCACATGAAATGAGATATATGAGCTCAAAGTTGACACTTTGGGTGACGCTCTATTAGCGTGTTTACAGTTTCCTGTTTACTGTTTTCGAATCAAAATAGTTTCTCCTCCAGGAATTTTCTATCTGGTCCTTCGTCCAGATGACTATCCTTTGGAAGAATGCACTGAAACAGTTTCAATAGACGGCGATGCACCAGAACCAATCAAGAGTTCTCATCCGGTTCTTTTTGTTTTTGTACTTATGGTTATCAATGTGGTTTGTTTAATTTCTAGATGTTCTTTATCTGATTTTCACTTTACAGTCTATTGGCGTTCCACTAATGCAAACCTACAGCACTCTCATATTTTCTTATTATGGAATGCCCAAGACCTCTGCCTCAATCGTCTCAGTTTTATATCCAATTCTTCAATTGATTCCTATCATGATTTCTACCAGAATTAATGTTCAAGGTATAGAGAAGGAACCCACTTCTCGCAGAAGTGAATCATCAAATTCCAGAAAACGGTTGGTTCTTGGCGGATACTTGGTGGCTATTGAAGCTCAGTTTTTCCTACTTCTCACGTCTTCATATCCATATCTACCGGAGAAACATCAAATGATTGCAATGACTGTTCTTCTTCTGATTCTTTCAATTTCTTTTGTGATTCCATGTAACACTGCTCTCTGTATTTTATTCGAACAATTTGATGGATCAAATGTGAAAACTGCCAGTAAATCAAGATGTGTCATGTGGTTTTTGGCTTCTATCAGGTAATGGAGATCAGGGTTATGTCACTGAAAACTGAGATTTTGAAATTTTTCAGCACATTGACATTCTCCAAAGTTCTGGATTCATATGGATTCGCTGTTGCATTCCTACCATATTTTTTTGGTTCAGTTGTTTCCTACGCCATAATGCTCTTTATCTTCCCTTCTAACCAACAATTTGTAATTAAACTATAATTTGTTGAATATATTATATGCTCTAATAGAAGTCCCCCCTATACGTTCACTTTGAGTTCAAATATTTCGGTGTCTTCAAAATATATCAAAAATTTGTCAACTAATTAAATTTTGGTTTAAAAAACATTTTATCAGTTGGCAAATTTTTGATATCTCGTGTAGGAATTGAGATTATTGAATTCAAACTTGAAGGTGTAGGAGGCCTTCTATTACAGCTTTTGCGGTACTTTAATTATGCTTCTTGGTAGATGATTTATTAATATTTGGTTTATTAAACATGAGAGATGAAACATGAATACTATAATAAAAACCCGTAACAGTTAAACAAATGAAAGACAAAAAGATAAACCGTAACAAAAAGAAAATTTTGGAAGGCAAGAAATGAAATGACATAATAAAGGGTTACTGTAGCGAGAGTATGTATTGAAATGTAAACTTGATGCACCTTTAATAGATATTCGCGATCCTTGACGATCTTCAAAGATGCATCAAGTTTTGAGATTTCGGTGCACCGAAATGCATTTGAATACATAATTTCGCTTAATAACCCCATAATACAATATAACCCCTAAAAACTAAAAAACTAGACAACAACTCGATCGGATGATAAATTAGCAAGACGAACGTTTCTTTGAGTTCTCGGTAAAACAGAATGACACCCTACAGTAATCAATTCTGTTGATCGAACGTAGTTCCACAAACCAGTTGAGCGATCACAAGAAATACGTCGAAGGATAGGTACTTTACGGATGATAGGCATACAAAATGCTCCAGTTGATCCACGACTTTTCCGACATAAACATACTGACTCAGCAATGAGCTTCGGTTCGCGGCTCTCTTGAAAGTTGACTCTGAAATTACAAAACAGGTAATAAAACCATTAGGAACATAAAAACCAAAAGAACCAGTTACTCACCTACTTTCCCATGGGCACAATGCTCGTTCCATTATAGTTGAACTCCCCTCGGCTCTTGGTGATTTTCCACATATTTCCGGCTCTTTTCCATTTGTGCTCCATTCTTCGAGAGCCATATCATCGAATTGTCCATTCATCGAAATCTGCATCCATGCGGATAGTTCTTCTTTCTAAAAACTAGTAATTTATGATCAGATTGTATCTCAAAGTCTTATCAATTTGACCTGAAAAGTGAACACTAAGGACTATTGCGTGCCGAAAGGGATAAGAGAAAAGAAGAAGACGGAAATAAGGTAAACTTTCGGGGAAAAGTGCGATTGAAAAGATAAAAAGCAACGGTGTCAAGGCACGGTGAATTGTCTCGGTATAGGTAGCGAAATAGTGCATTCGAAAAAGGTTAAACGGAGAAGTACGTCGGTAATCCGAGACTGCTAATGGGAGCATCAGTTCCCGAATCCTTTTTTGAAGAAAGTTTACTGTTGCAAGAAGGTCAATTGTTGCAAGATTAAAATTCTTAAAGTTTCAGAATTATATTTTCAGGGATTTTTCAGCAATAAAAGACTGGAAATGGATCAGGGAGATAGATGTAGAGAGATTTATTTAGAACTTGATTTATTGATTCTCTTTCTTTTGTGAGAAACCTGGTGCAAAGAATCTGTTTGTGAAGTCTAGATATGATTCCAATACTAATTCCAAGCTACAGTAACTCATGTTGTTTCATTCAGAAAGATCCTTTCTTGAAAATATTGGAAACTACAAACTTACTAGATTTTGTGGTTCTTCACAGTGTTTATCGGTCCATGCTCCACTTAGATGCCTCCGAACGTTATGCCGTTTTGCCATGCCGATCCCTACCCCAACAATCAAAACAAAAAGTGTATTGAGGCAGGGAATCATGGCGTAATCTGACAGCGAGAACCGAATAGAAAGTAATTAAGAGAAGGGGCAGTGACCCTTCTCCTTTTTCTTCTTCCTTTTCCCGACGATGACCTAGTGACATCCGCCAGAAGTGAGAACTAATGGGAGGGGCAAAAATCCATGAAAAGTTTATTCGAGAAGAACGTTTTTTATGTGCATTGTATGTACAGGTGAAGAAAAATATTATGGCAATATGTAAGAACAAAAATCAATTGATTCCGAGATTGATGAGATTCTTTGAGTGTAGATTTTCAATGGATTTAGCAATGAGGTGAGCATTGTTCTTCTGGTAACCTCCGCTGGTTAACATGCAAATCGGGATTCCCTTTTCTCTAGCAAGTTTGAAGACAACTTCATCTCGAGAAATAATACACTGAAAAGGTTTGAACGTTTCCCCATAATTCTCTTATTTTGGATGTACCTGTGGACTCAAGTTCATAGCACCCAGTGGATCACCAAAGAGGCAATCTGTGCCAGCATTGTACAGTATGAAGTCGAAACCAGGAGGAGTCAGGTTCTGTCTGTTTTCCAAACACTGGGTCAGCTGTTTGCGTAGTTCACTTAATGTATATCGGTCAGTGAAAGGATCGGATAAGCCGTCTATGGATACTTACGAGATGTAGGAGGTGTCAGTCGTGTGACTGTTAACATGAACCGCTTTGTTAATGAATTGGCGAGCTTCACGATCATGTGGATAGACGTATGGATTGAAGACATCGAAAACGAAGACGTTCTCGTTGTTAGCAAAGTCTCGGGCATGACCGTTACCCTAAAATCATTACCTCGACTACAGTAACCCTAGTTCTGTATTTTTTCGTGTTTTGATCTATCTGTTTTTCCAGTTGTCCCACTTGTTTTTTTCTTTACCTGATGAGCATCGACATCAACAACAATCGCGTTGGTTATCGCTTTTTTGTCGAACAAATCGCAGATTGCCATGGTGATATCGGCATAAAAACAGAATCCTCCTCCGTCTGAATCTGAAATTATAGGGTGCTGTACAATCCCAGAGCGCCAATTTCGTGTCTGGTCTCTTCACAATAACAAAAAACATACAAGAAGCATGATGGAATCCACCCCCCACATTAATCGCCCAACCGTGTTTGAGAGCCAAATTGGCAGCCAAAACAGATCCACCGGCTTGAAGACTGGAACTTGAGAACATGATCAAAAACAGTCTAGAATCTGAGCAGCTACCGTAGTGGGTGAAGAAGTTTACTTTCAATAACACAGGGCGGAAGGCATCCAACGAGAGGAATCTCGACGATTTGGGCAGCTTTCAGTGGATTACGTACACTTTTCAGGTACCTAGGGAAATCGGTGCAATAAGGACAATCACTACACATCCAGATATGCTTACTTTCTATCATGTACACGTGTCAACTCTTCAAAAGTTGGAAGACTTGGTTCGACAGTAGTCGCATCTGTTATTAGATTCATGTCTTTCAGATGAGCAATGACTCTTTTCCATTTCGATGAGTCAAAAGGATGCAAATGCTCTATCCCGAAAGCAGATACATTGTATTCAGAATGATAAACGATTGGACGCTGGTGTTCTTCTAGATTATAGTTTTCTTCCTCTTCGCTGGAACTATCCTTGTGTGATTGGACATAACATCCTAGTACTACGGTTCTAGTTCTACAACTATTACGACGGAACAAAAACTCACCGCTCTGCCATTCTTGTCAGAATAGAATGAGCGGGTAGAGCGAAGACTTCCGATTAGTAGTACCGTTTGTTATCAGAAGGCAGAGAAGACAGAAGAATGCTGTGAAAACAGCAGCAACCAACGAACTGAGTAGCAGCAGTAACAAGAGAGTGCGTGAAGCGAAGAGGGTGCAGAGAAAATCTGTTCGAAGAGTGTTTTCAGCCAGCGGCCGTGTACTCCTCGAGAACAACACTTTTTTGTTTCGTTTGAAGCAGACTTCCCAATTCTTCAAATTTGAGTTCAAATTTCTTCCGAATCGCGCCAATTTCATAACAGCTCTCCCATTTTCTATTGACTTGCATGTTCTTTTTCGAGATTTGTCTTTTATTTCCTTAAACCTATCTGAAATTAAAATTTTAGGGGATTATAATCAACCAACAACCTTTTCGAAGTTGCCGACATGGATGAATTACCGGTGAGAGTTTGGAAAAGGTGTTTCAGAGTTCAAAAAAATATTTCAGGTGTTGAACAACCTCTGCAAAGACCTCTATGAGAGTGTCGACCCGCAAGTCCGTCATCGGGCAGAGATGAATCTCGCAGAACTCTCTGAATCGCCAGAGTGTCTTCAGAGGTGTATGTTGTTGCTGGCTAGAGGAGATGTAAGACTTTAATGAAAGTACAAAAAAGCTCACGTCTCATTTTCAGTACCCATATGGACCGATGGTAGCGAGCACTACCCTTATGAAACTTCTCGGGGGAAAAACTAGCATCACATCGACGCAGAAACTGGAACTGGCCAAATATCTTCTGGAGATGCTTGGACAAGGAGCACCTCAATTCCCGTCTTATCTTGTAACATCACTCTGTCAGTTGTTTGCTCGGCTCACAAAGCAAGAATGGACGTATCAAAGCTCGGAAGCTTCAAATCAAGCAGAAGATGCAAAGGTTGAGTATCCGTTCCGAGATCCAGTAGACAGTCTTGTTAAAACTATCAACATGGATAATCTGGAGGAGAGCATGCTTGCAGTTCAACTTCTGACTATGCTTGTATCCGATATGAATTCTGCAGCTGGAATGGAATCGGTTAACAAACATCGTAAAAATCTGTCACAATTCAGAGACGATTTTCTCTACGAAATCTTCTCTGTGTCTCTCACTTTCTTAAGCGATAACGTTGATAGGAATCTCAATGATCGTCAAATTGCACTTCTTCATGCAGTTCTGAACTTGAATCTTCAATGCCTGCTCTTCGATTATATTGGAAGTCTTACCGACGAAACTAGTGAAGACAATTGCAATGTACAGATTCCTACCGCATGGAGAGCTAGTTTTACAGATGGAAAAATTGTCCAATTGATGTTCAAGTTGTTGACAAAGTTACCACAAGAATCCAGTGAAAAAGTCATGACGATAATAGCACAACTCGCAAGCATTAGGAGGACTTTATTCAATGGAACGGAGCGACAGGCATATGTACAGAAGCTCGTTGAAGGAGTTGTCAGCGTGATTATGAATCCAGAAAAGCTGAGTGATCAGGTAAAATTGACTATTTTTGTCCAAAAATCTTAACTTGATCATTATAGGCTGCATTCCACGAGTTCTGCCGTCTTATTGCTCGTCTCAAGACCAACTATCAACTGTGCGAACTCATCGCAGTTCCCTGTTACAGTCACATGCTCCGCCTTCTCGCAGAGTTCACGGTACAAAGCTTAAGAATGATGGAATTCTCTGCTAACAGCACCTACTTCCTCATGACATTCTGGCAGCGAATGGTGACATCGGTTCCTTATGTGCGAAACAATGATGAGCATCTGCTCAATGTTTATTGTCCGGAAATTATGACGGCATTTATAGAAAGCCGATTGCAGCACGTGGAGAACGTAATCAGAGAAGGAGCTGAAAATCCGTTGGACGATCAAGGATCTACACTGCAGATTATGGAACACTTGGCCATCATTTGCAGATGCGAATACGAGAAGACGTGCAAACTTCTAACACAACATTTCGATCAAAATGCGAATATTTGGATGAACGGTTCGGAAAACGATATCAACACAACGATTGCTGAAGGACGTTTGGTGTGGCTAATCACTCTTATTGGAACTGCTGTATTTGGAAAGACTACATCCACAAGCAGCGATTCTCATGATAAAATGGACGGAGAAATGATAGCTCGTTGTATCACGGTTATGAGGTTCAACGATAATCGTCTCCAATTGTCGAACACCACAATCCCTCTAAAAGGAAACCTCCGATTGGAAGTTTCCTTCATTCATATGCTCGAACAATTCCGCAGAGCTTACATCATGGACCAGATCACACGTGCCAGTTCAGTATATGATACACTTGAAGCAGAGCTGCGTATTGCAGAAGAGTCCGACATGCTGGGAGTCATTGTTCAGAAGATTCTGACAAATCTCAAATTTTGGCCATCTAATTCTGAGCTTCTCGATTTGTCACTTTCATTGCTCAAGGACTTGTCTCTCGGATACTCTGCAGTTAGAAAGCTGTTCCGCCTTCCAGAAGTTCAGTTACTGCTCAATAACCATACAGCTGACCATTTCATTTTCCTCGGACCAACTATCGATTATCAGACAATGAAACAGAGAACAACGTTTTACGAAGCACTCACTCGCCTCTTGACTACAGATTATGCTGATGACGAGGAGATGCTTCAAAGATTCCTACGACCCTTGACAGGTACGCATTCACATTTTGAAACGAAAAGTAATTCATATATTTCAGATACAGTCGAAGGAATTTGCACAGTTATACAGAACAACTGTCAAGGAATTGAGGAGGAGCAGCTGAAGGTTTCCTATTTCCTTATTTGCCAAAACTATGTATTTATTTTTCAGAAAATCATCACTGGCTTGTGCAGAGACTTACGTGGTGTGGCTATAGCTTCAACGACGAAAGCTATTTTCCAGATCCTGTTCGAATGGATGTAATTTGTCTTATATATTTTTCCACATAACATTCTAATTTACAGGTACCCCGAAGTGTTCAATATCATGCAATTCTCTGTTGAAAAGTGGCCTGGATGCGCTGATGTTATCACTCCAATCCTTCGCCTGCTCTCCGAAATGGTACAAAATCGTCAACAAAGACTGAAATTCGAGATGAGTTCTTGTTCGGCGGTTCTCCTTTTCAAAGAGACATCGAAAATCGTTTCGATCTACGGAGATCGCCTTCTTCAGTTGCCAGAGGTGTCCAAAGATCGAGTTTACAAAGAGAGATACAAGAACATTGGCGTTATCTTTTTAATTCTCAAAAATGCTCTCATCGGAGCATATGTACCATTTGGTGTCTTCCGACTTTACGGCGACTCTTGTCTCCAGGATGCCCTCACTACTTTCATCAAGCTATTCATGAGTATTCCTCAAGACGACTTCCATGTGAGTTGAAAAATATTAAATCCTTGTTCATTGTCGGTTTTTTCCCAGAGTTACACGAAGATTGCTCAGAACCATTATAATTTGTTGGAGCATGTGGTTCAAGATAACATGCCGTTTGTGACCAACCTCTCAGTTGACGTCTTCTGTTCACTGTTGCGTTCGATTCATTCTGGACTCAGCTCGGTTGATGCTATTGTGATCACTTCTGCGTGTTCTTCTTTGGATACAATTCTAAATTATTTGTATCGCAGATTGACTCGATCGACACCACCAACGAACAAGGTTGGAATGGATCCAGAAGGCGATAACATTCTCATTGCCATTAAACAACATCCTGATATTCTTGCGAAGGTTTCTAATGATTTTTTGAATTGATCTAAATTATTGTTTTCAGATGCTGCAAGCTGTAATAACATTGATGATGTTCGGCGAAGTCAAGTGCCAGTGGAGTCTCTCTCGTCCACTCCTTGGTCTCATTCTCATACAAGAAGACGTCTACTCCAATATGAAACGCGAGCTTACTTCTCAACAGACGTACGACCGCCAAGCAGATTTCGATCAGCTCTTCACCCAGCTTATGTCAAATGTCGAGATGAACTTAACCGTTAAAAACAAGGATACATTCACTCAAAATCTGACTCGTTTCCGTCGTGATATTGCGTTGGTGCTCAAAGGGCAATCCTTGCCAGCGAATTCTGTCAGTCAGGAGATGCAATAGACCATGTCTTCCCACCTAACTTATGTACTATCATTATTCCGTTTTTGCAACTCACGTATCATTTCTTTTCCTTCCATCCAATACTCTGATTTCGCTTTACACTGTCTCTGTTCCCCTTTCTCTACTTCCTCTTTGTTTTCAGCACATACTTCTGTGCCGATCTCTGACTCCACCCCCGTTCATTCTGTCACACCTTTTTTTATTTTATTTTCCGAATCCGGTCTATCTATTTATTGTATCCCTTTTATCTCTTTGATAATTACCCCTCTTCACCCTATTGGTTCATCTTGTCAGTGCTTATTTTGTAGTTTTATCTGAACCCCCATAATCTTGATGCACGGCTCTTCAAATTGTGATCCACGCCATTTTATACGATCACATATTGTGAGGAGTCACTCTGCAAATTATGTCTCAACGTGTTTCTGAATTCCAAATCCCCGTCGTTTCTCGAATCCTGTGTAACTGTGAGCAATCAATTTACTAGTTAAACAATTATTCCATTTGAAAACTGTATTCTTCATGGAGCTACGACACTGGAAGGCCTCTGACGGTTGTCACTAACACAATTTAATCATTTGAACTCATCATTCAAACATGTGGTATCTTCGACAAGTTTATGAATTCTGGATTTTCATAGCCGAAAAAGTTCGGCTGTTTCTTTAGTCTCGACACTTGTTGTACATATCACATTACAAGGGCGAGAAAGTATTTCTTCGTTTCTCTCAAACCGACTTGTCAAACTTTTTTTTCATTCGAAGCATGATATCAAGAGAAACTTTGATTGTTTTCGCCTTTTCATTCTGATTGACAAGGAAGGCGTTCCTTGTGTGTCATCTCCACTATGACATTGTCTGCGTCGAGAGTCTTTTAGAAAGTCTCTTTTGGAACTGAAAAAAGGAGAAATAAGAATAAAGAAGAGACATTCCTTTCCTAGAATCCTCTGGAGAATTGAACGCTTGAAAGTCTCGAAATTCTAATTGGGGAGTGGGGGTGGAGCAGCCGATCCAGAGAAATAAAAAACAAAAGCAGTTTCAGAAGAAACAAATCAGTTCCAGAAGAAATGAAGAATCTGAAAGGAAAAGTACACTAGAATTGAGAATTATTCGAAAATCAGGATTCAATTCAGAAAATCCCATCATTCCATCTTCGAAAGTACATGTACGAGAGTTACTTCTCTTGTTGCCCATTTTTCTCTTCTTTTTCTTTTTTTCACACTCGACTCTCAAAGTCATATATAGACACTTATTTTTCGTCTTCAGAACTCTTTCTCTATTCGACAATGAACTGTGACAATGAAATTGACTTGAGTCCTTGTTTCAAAGTTAAATCAAATCTTTATCTGAGTCCGAGAATCCACGAAGAGAAGAAGAGGTCAAACTTCTTTGCAGTTCGATTGTTTGAGAATGTGCATCGTTCTCATTTTTTCTGAGTTCATCTCTCCTATAAAATATCTCCATGATTTTTTTCCAGTGATTCCTACCTTTTAAAAGAAGGCCACAATATTCTTGCTCTTTGAATTCAATTATCTCAATTTCTATCAGAAATTTCAAAAATCTGTCAACTGATAAAATCTTTTTCAAAGTATCATCAACATTTTTTCAGTTGACACATTTTTGATAGCACTTTTAGAAATTCAGATAATTGAGCTCAGATGCAAGTATATGGTGACCTTCTATTTGAGTGTTTACGGTAGTCTGAGATTAGTTTAAAAAAAAATCAAAACTAGATCTAGAAAAATACTCAACATAATTTTGCCTTCGATCACTATTATTGCTACTGTACGCCCACTTATTCGTATCGAACCAAAAAACAATCTCATCAATTCCTTGACTCACGAGCCCGTCATAATTCCCTATAGCCCTCTCGGTCCATGGGTTGCTCATAATTTTCGGCCCCACGCAATTGTCAACGTCTCTTTATTCCATTTTCCCGTTTTTCGTTCCGTTTTTCTAATTTACGTGTGTTTTTATCTGTTCCTAGGAACACCAAAAACCGTCTTCTCCGTGATTCAAGATATTTTTCCTCGCTTCTTCTCACCCTCCCACTCCACGTCCGTTTCTTCTTGTTTTTCCTTCTTCTTCATCCCACCCAAAGAGATTGGGAAACAGTGATTGAGATAAAGAGAGAATCCTCAGATTCTCGAGGATTCAGAATTGTGTTAAAGGCATACGTCGTCGTCGTCGACAAATCGCCCAAGGCACTTTTTGTCTTTTCTTTTCTTCTTCTTTGGGTCTTCTGAATCCGCTCCCTCGCTCTCCTTCTAATCAGCTTTTTCACTTCTTTTCCTGTATTCGTCATCGTCATCAAATACGGGTACAAAGACTAAAATTTAAGGAAAACGCCGAATTCAAACGATGTGAATTTTCGAATTTCTGAATTTTGCGGTCCATCTTGTTACTGTAGAAAGTATGTTTTGAATAGTTTCGTACCAGAAGTTGATTAAAAGAATTTCGAATTTCAATTTGACTGTACTGTACTCCAATTTTAAGTGCGATAAATCGAATAATTGATCAGTAAACTGATTAAGTTTCAAGTTATTTGATCAGTTTAGTGTTGAGTTAACGCTTGTCAACGTTGCTCCATCTTGTAAAAATCACAGCGATGTGCAGGAAACATCACTCCGTTCATCTTTAGGCAATCATAACAACACCTAGACTTGAGAAATCGCTTTCAAGATTTCAGTAACTTTGAATCAAACGTTAAATTATATTTCTATCAATTTTCGTGCTTTCAATTTTCTTATGTCTGAAGATATACCCGTTGTTATTAGTCCGGGTAATTGTGCATTACCCTGTAGCTTTCTGAATTTTGAATTCTCATCCTCAAATCCTCAAAAATCAACTACAAAATCAAAACACAAACTTCGAACACTTCTAGTGTGATCTATCTTTTTTCATGGTCAATACCTTGTTTTTCCAAAACCTCCCATTCTGTTTTTTCCATCTTTTTACAATCCCTGAAAAAATGCACCTGCTGATTTTTCAATTCCATTTTGGTGCTTCCAAAATAGCTAATTTCGTTTCTACATACCCGATCAAAAGGATCTATTAAACAATCACGTCACCTCTCTTTCACCCATATCATCAAATCCTTCTCTATCCCTGGCTCAAAGTTCTTTAGGGAATACCCATGTGTGATTCATTTCAGAAGGAAATTGAACAAGAACATGATGGGTTCTTGATTCTGAAGTATCCGAGCAGCCAACTGATTTTCACAAACGGAGCCACTAGTAAGTTCTGTGATTCCGGAGGCTTCCGTTTCCAAAAGAAGTCAATCAAGTCGAAGAAGAAAGAAACGACCTTTTGCTCTGCCAGCAAAACAAGTCCTTTCTTTTCTTCTACTAAAACATATCCTCTCGTATTTTATTCCTCCCCTTCTTCTGATGCTTTGCTACTCATTCTGCTTCTGCTGAGTTCTTCAAGGTGTGACCAACTCATTTCAAATCAACCCATTTCAATGTCCACCCACTTTCCGTCTTAACATGTTGTTTGGTGTTTATGTGATGTCTACAAAATGTCTAAGACAGGTCACTTTTGAGAAAAAACCTAATTTGAACATCGTGCCAATCCTCGTCGAACTTTTAGAAAAAAACACTGGCGCCTGAAATTTCAAAACGATATCGAAAAGAAAACACGCCTAATGTGTGCGAATTCTCATTAGAGAGCATCGAAATTATCAGTTTTGAAATGAAGACTAGATATCATAACAGATTTCTGATATTCTCTAATATTTTCACCAAAATACCGGAGATTGTTGTTTTCCGGTATTGTGAAAATCCAGTTGATACGTCTGAAATATTTAGAAAAAGGCAGATCAAATTCAGATTCAATGTTTTTCCTCGTATTTACCGTTTCCTTTTCAATAGAAAAAAACTTGATTACGTAGTATATTGAAGCTTTATCTGTTTACCTCAATTGTGAGAGACAATGGAAAAGGCTGACACAGAATTAACCCTTTTCAGGTTTTCCTTTTCCTTCCAACTTTTATCCATTCTATAAATAAGTTATCCTATTCAATAAACATTCTAACTCAAAACATCGACGACGATCTAGGTAATCTCTGAGCTCTGGCACATCAATCGACCCGTTCACTTTGTCAACTTTTCTTCTCAAATATACCTCTTTCCTTCAGATATTATTATTCACCTCGTCTTATTCTTTTTTCTTCTTCTCTTTTTCCAATCTATAGAATTCTCACAAAACTCTTGACTTCTTCTGTGTTCGGTAACTCGAGTACAACGTCTTCAACTACTCCACGTCTTCTGTTTTCGCCTCTCTTCGTCTTTATTGAATCTCATCATTTGATAGCAGCACTGAGTAGAAGAAGGACCTCCTTCTATTTCTTTTCTTCCATAAAAACAACACAAACCTTCGAAGATGTTGTCTAGCTTGTGTCATCTTCGTCATCATCTTCACAAAAGTCAATCAAATTTTCCGCCAGTTTCCTTCATCGCACTTTGAGCACTTCCAGATTCCAAGAAGGAACGTCCAAAATAGACAAACAAACTTTTCTCACCTCAGGCGATGGAAATACGAACCTTTTCTGTCCCGTTATATCCATATGTCTTTTCTTGGTACGTAATCGGACCCATAAAATATCACTCTCGTATTTCCCAGTAATCGCCGCTTCTCCCTTTCATGAATTCCTGGTTTTCTCAGTTTTTTTACGTCATCGTTCCTCTTCTCACTCATTTTCGCTTTCACCACCCCGTCTAAAAACTCGACGAAATGACGACGAATGGAACGAATTCTTGTATTTATGGGCATGTAGATATGCCCATTATTCGAAGTACTTTTTTATTGCACCACCAGCTCAGTTCAGCTCATTTTAGGATATGCGCTCCACCCACAGTTGTGGTTATGAATGCCGAAAATACGATTGCGAATGGATCAAGTTTTTTTTCCATTTTCTGTGTGAACAGGAAAGGCAACTAAACTATCGCTTCGATCTTTTTGTAAATTTTTAGCACGAAGACGTCTAATCATTGTATTCGAACTTGCATAGTCTGAGAATCAGTTTTGCTCAATGGGGGTTTTTTGGAAGTAAGTTTTATTGTGAATTGTATTTCTTCCTTTTTGGTAAATTTCAAAAAGAAACTCAGGATTGAACTGCCTCTCAACACCTTCTTTGACATTAAAACTAAAAGAAAAAAGCTGAACAGCAATTGGAAAATTATGAAGTTGTCAAACTGTATTTTGGCTACACCGTTCCTAGTTTTTTGATTTTTAGTATCAAGCAAGTGAATTTATGAATAATTTTGTTTTTTTTCCAACGAATTGAACACATTCTCAACTAACTTTTGTCGAAAATAGAGAAAAAAAAAACTTCTCAATATCACTCACGATCAGGACTTAACCAACAGCTGTGAAAATCACCACCTCTTTCATACATGAACGAATTTTGGTATAAATGGATTGTTCGAGATATTTTTGAGATCGCGAAAATTACAGTAATTTCTTTTGAAAAGCTTTATTTTTTCATAACTCCGCAAGCAATTAAATTTGGAAGTTGAATCATAAAAATAATACATTTCGAAATGTATATTGAGAAAAATTCATCATATACTTCTTTGGCTCCAACCGACTTTTAATCTGTCGGAATTGTCCACCGGTAATTAAAATCCACCCAGTACAATAGGTAATTTATAGACCCATAAGGAAGTAATGCATAGAATTAGTTCTAGTAAGTTTGGAACTTAATAACCTGGCTTTTAGAAAATTTCTGCTTGATAGACTACGAAAACACCAACTCCGTGGTCTCCGATTGACCTCATTTCCTCAATCAACCGTCAAAACAAGAGAACCATCGAACTTCACACATTGATAGACTTAATGGAATCAACAAATCAAAGTTCGGCTCACTCCTACCAATTCATTTCCCCCAACCACCCCCATCAAAGTTGTCTGGTCTTTCTTTTCTTTTTCATCATCAGATCACCGGACATTGATATGTCCACTATGAAGATAGATCAATCAGCAGTGTTTACCTATCATCTAGACGAGAAGCATGTGTTCCGCCTCCCTCATCTATCTCCCAGCATCATTAGATTCAACTCAAAATTCGTACCCATTTCATAATTATTCTCGTTAATAGAAGAAGAATAAGAAGACCTCTTTTATATTCTTCCTTTTTCGACATTATAATGAGAGGGACCTGCCAATGACAAGTATGTTCTTCTGCTGCAGAGGAAGAAGAAAACACGACACGATTCGCCTCTTTCGGCGGTTCATAGCTCATTACGTAAACTTTCGTCCGACTCATTTTGATTTGCGGACTCAGATGGCCAGCTTTTTTCGCAGTTTTGTTCATTTCAAACGGCTGCTCACTTTCATCATTGAAATGCTCTTCTAAAGGGAAACACTCAACGTCAGACACCGTCTTTTTTGTCTTCTTCTTTTCAATTTTCTTTTCCTTTTTTCGATCTGACTCATTTGCTCAAATCCAGATTTCAAGTGGAGATAATTTGGAGAAAACTAAAGATCGAAAAGCTTCTTCAGAATCTCATTTTTTGAAGAAAAATCGAAACAAATAATTCATTGACACGCTCATCGTCTGCAACCCCTTTTTCATCCTTCGCTATTCTATCACTTCCATTTTAATTCAGGTTCTCACCAAGAATTCGTTATCCTTCTGTGGGACTCCTAAGAATAGATTCACCGTCAAACCAAAGAGAAGTCCGGATTCCGGATTCCGTAAAATATATTTGTCAGGATTCCGTATTCCGGATTCCGTAAAATATAATTGTCAGGATTCCGTATTCCGGGTTTCGAGAAAAGTAATTTTTCCGAATTTAGGATTCCGAATTCCGAGATGGAGAATCATATGAGTTCAATAAATTTTTGGGATTGGAAAGGTACGAATTCCGGATTCCACGCTTTTTTATCCCGGGTTCCGTATTCCTGACAACGTGAAATTTTTATTTTTCCGGATTCCGAGAAAATTGTTTTATTTGAAGATGGTGATGGCAACAGTTTTTGAGAAATCCGATTAAAAGTTCAATAAAATTTTAATCCGGAATGAAATAAGTAACTACGTTTGGTTTACTGCTAAAAATGCTACTTCCAATAATGATGTTACTAGTCATTGAAAACAATTCCGAAATGACGTATCAACCTTTTCGTTCTCACCTCGTTTTGAATATCTCTTCTGAAATCAACCCAATCAACCGGTATATATTTATTTTTTTATTCATTTTCGCCATCCTTTCAAAATCAAGCCACTTATCCTACTCCCTCATTCTATTTTCCATCTTACTCATCGCGTTTTTTCACATCGTCATTTTGTTCTTTTTTTATTTTTTCTTACCAGTTTTTTTCCCATTCAATGTAACCTCCATCATTTTACCGATGATCCTGTTATTTATTATTTTAACCTATATTAACCTATTTTCCATTTATTTGCATTCTTATTCTATTTTCGTTTCGTTTGTCCTTTCTTGCCCGCTGGGCCTATCGGTTCATCGGAAACCGATTTTCTGCAATTTTCAGAAGGAATAGGCGGAGAGTGAAATGACATCTAAAGCACAAAGTGGAACACGATAAACACACTCAACCCAGTTTTTCATTACTCCAAAACGAGGAGAGCTCTCTCCTCAAAAACTAGAACTTCATGGTAAGTGAGCATCCACTTCTGAAAATGAGTTCCTGAAACATTTTCGCCGGACCCAATTATAATTCTCATGCATTTTTAGTAATTATTTAAACACTCGACACTATACGAAGTGATGTCCATCCAACTCGTTAATTTTTCGGTTGAACTTCCCTTTATGTTGTTCGTATAGGGTATAGTTTACTTCATCACAACAGTCAGCAAAAATAGCACTGATTAATAATTAACGAGTCGTTGGCTGGCACTGAGCCTAGTTGCTTAGGAACTTTCTGGAATTTCAAATTCGTGCTAGCAGCCCCTTTTCACACATTATCTTATTTCTTCGTAACTTTCTTATTCTTTTACAGATGGGCTGTGACATGGGTTCGGTTAATTTTACGGGTGCCGAATGGTTGGAGACTGCAGTGACGAATTTAAATACAGCCTATGCTCACATTCATCCATACGTATCTGTGGTTCTCTGTCTTGCAGGTTGGTTTATAGGCGGAAGTGACCGGTCGTATTTATCAGACGGTTTCTTAGAAAAAATAGCAAAAATAAAGAGTAGAAAGAGCAGAAAGGGGCATGGTGTTGTTGTTAAGAAGAAGAAAGAAAAAGGAACTGAAAGTCAGAAAAGGCGAGGAAAAATAATGAAGGAAACGAAGTCTGATGGTAAAGTGCGCATCATTGAACAGGGAAACCCGAGGTGGCTGATGCAGTTTTTTGAATAAATTGGGTGAAAATATCCCTTTTTGAACTGTAAAATGAATGAAAAATACAATTCAGAAATAAAAAATTAGAAATTCGATAGTTTTCAGTGAAGATAAAAACAGGAAAATAAATTTGTGAGTGAGGATGACATGATCCATGATAAGGTAATAAGTTCATCAACCAGGGAAGAATACCGTAAAACCTCTAATAGAAGGGACACACACTGCTCATTTTGAGCTACATTATCTGAATTACCATGAAATATATTAAAAATGTTTCAACTGACAATACCTTTCTGATGTTATGATAAACAATTTATCATTTTAACACTTTTTATCTTTGGTAAAAACCGAGAAAAATTAGCTTTGAGTTGAAAGTTAGGCTTCTCTTCTATTAAAGGTTTTACGGTACATTTCCAGTTTCAAAACTTTCCTCAGCTCATCTGATAACAAATTTTTGTAGTTACTGATTAATTATCGGCTTTTTGAAGGTACTGCAATGAACATAGTGACAGTAATTGTCCTAACTCGACCATCAATGCGATCAGCGGTCAATTCACTTCTCTGTGCAATTGCTCTTTGCGATATTCTGGTGATGACGAGTGTTCTCGTCTTCGTCACCCACTTCCTTCTCTTTGCCGGGTACAGGTTTGTCAGTTTTGCATGCACGAATTTCTTTCTATGATTTTTTGATTGATTTTTGTCTTCTAACTAACATTTTCATTGATTTATGTGTCCTTTCGAGGGTATTTTATGAAACGAAGGAAGCTGTTTGGGTCTACGGTATTTTTAACAAAGTGTTTCTATTAAATTATCATTTATAGATTCGTGATCTTTTTTTTGCTGCATTTTCTTTTCACAATTCCTCTGATTTTTCTGTGATTGTTTGATTCCGATAGTTTCCACTGGATATGAGAATGGGAACGGGAATGAATGTCCACATGAAAACGCATCCTAGTAGATTTCTCAATTCTATTAAAAAAGACGATTATTTGAAAAATTTTTGCAATTCCAGATGTGACCCTTCGGACTACAATATTTATTGGGCCTATTTTCTTTACTATCATTCACAGGCCACAGTGATATTCCATGCAACAAGTATATGGCTTACTGTAAGTTGGTATAAGAGGAACATAATAAAAATCAATGATTCCAGGTTCTTCTTGCTCAAATTCGAGTATTCTCTATTCGAAGAGCAACTTCGGTTGCTGGAGAATCAGTTACGAATAAGAAAACTTGCTTTATAGCAGTATCCACTTTTATTGTCGTGTGTCTTCTGAATGTTCCGAATATGCTCACTTTTGAGGTAAAGCTATTTTTAGATGAGTATCGTACCAAAATTCTAAGTTTCAGATAATAGAAACACCAGCTTCCAATTGGCTTCAATGCAAAGCAAATGAAACTTCAGACGACGAAATGCTTGTTTATTTAGTAGCTCCATCAGATCATTGTGGACTTTTGAATGTAAGTAGTACTGTAAGTATTCTGACAAATTTCTTCTTTCAGATTGCATTCTGGACAAATGGAGTTTTGTTCAAAGTGGTTCCTTGTCTACTGTTAACATTTTCAATTGTTGCCCTTGTCAGTATAATCCGGGATGTTGGAAAACGGAGGAAGCAGTTAGCTCAAGTGATGAACAAGAAGAGAATGCCAAGAGATCACACAACTCCAATGCTTGTTGCAGTTCTCTCCATTTTCTTATTCGCTGAATTACCTCAAGGAGTTCTTCACGTCTTCAATGCAATATTCACAAAAGAAACATTCTACGATAAAATATACATCCATCTTGGAGATGTTATGGATGTCCTTTCTTTGCTCAATTCTGCTGTCAATTTCATCATTTATTGTGCAATGAGTCGGAAGTTCCGAGCAGTATTCATCCAGATTTTCCTCACATGCTTGCCCCAGAAAATTATTCGGTATAAAGGGACCTCTTTTGTGTTGGAAATTATACTGAAAATTTTAGAAAATACGCAATGGAAGCATTCCTGGACGGAGAAGTTTCGAGGATGCGACCTACTGCTGATATGACAAAAAGTGAACAATTGGCTTTGACGTCCCATCGAGTTTCAGCCTCATCTGTCCTTCTTCCTGTTTCTAGACCAGATCCACCAAGGATGTATTCTGGAAACTTGCTAACAGCTGGTTAGTGTTTAATTTCAGATGTATCTAGTTGAATACAGACAGACTTATGTATTCTAAATGCAAATTTCAGAAGACTCAACCTAATTTAGCAAAAGTTAAAGGTGAACACATATTCTTGCTTGTCTCTTCTGATTCTCTGAACCATTTCTAACTTGTCATTGATCTGAAACCCCATTTAAAACTGACATGACACCTCTTTCTGCACACCACCTAACTCTTTCTCGTGACTCCTCTCTCTCTCTCTTACTCTCCTACTGAACTTTTACTTGTTTGTTGTTTTTTCTAAAAACAACTTTGATGTTTTCATTTCAGACATCAACGGCGGATACTCACATTCTCCACGGGTTTCATTTGACATCGTTCGTAAAGAATCGCAGATTAGTGTCGTCGATTTTCAGCTTGTTGTGCCAAGTGTTCAGGTAACAGGGAGAAAAACAAAAAAGGTTGATGCTTCTATTTTCAGCAAGAATCACCTAGTCTTGTCCAGAAAATCATTCGATTCTTCCGTTCCCCAGATGAATTATCAGATAGTCCACATAGAAGAATCAAGCTGATGCAATGTGAAACGAGTACTGCTCTCTACTAATTTCTCTTTTTTAAATTGTATATATTTAGTGTATGCTAGTCATCGGGGACTAATAGTTTTCGATCTCATATTCTGATCTCTCACCGGTTCCTCTCCTATTTCTACATATCAATAGTTGAAAACATTTTTCTGATATTATTAAAATGTAGATGAATAAATCATTTCTTGAAATCCAGGTCATCAATATTAGTGAAGATTGGAACTCGATTAGAAAGAAGTTCTGGTTTGAAAACTGTGAAATTAGAGCAAGGAGCCAATGGAGCTCTTCCGATTACATCGTGGAATGCTCCAGACGGTGTTGCATTGAACAAGACGATTTCTAAAAAATAGAAAAATATAAATCGCTTCAAATTGTAAAAACCTTTTATAAAATCTCCAGTGTTTAATTTGAAGTCTCCTGTGCGATTGAACATAATCTGCAACAAATCTTCATGTTTTCTGTCGTCCAGTTCCACAATATCCATTTTTGGATGAAAAATAACATGCTCATCAATCGATGGGATTCCAGTGCCGTTTAACAATGAGTAGATTTTCTCTGAAAGCTTCTAACATAAAAAAGTGACCTCGATGAGATTTTTTTGTCACAAATCTTCATGTGGTTTTCTTGGGAAATCTGATCAATCACTTAGTTTGCAGGATGAGATCAAAAGATACGAAGGAAAGCAGAACACACAAACGAAACAACTCACGATGAACGGATGAAATCACTGTGCTTGACATTGCATTCACTTTTCCATGAAGTGTTGTGTTAGCTTTTACTGCTGTTCCTGAAAAAAACCTAATATTGACTATTAAAAGAAAATATATCACCTTCAAATAATGCAGGAACCGAGTAGGAAACATTGCAAATTGCTTTTGGAAGATCTTTCAGAAAATTTTGAATCCTGAAATATTTTCTAGAAAATCGTTTTCCGAAATCAAGACTCACAAAGGCAGTGTGGTTTCATTCAGCTCGATTGTGTTAAGTCTGATATGGAGATATGAAGTGTTGTGCACAAATTTGACAAATTGCGCATTTGTTTTTGTAAGATTCGTTTCGATTTGGTTCACCTGTTGAACAACCTGGAAGCAATCAGCAATGAAACGATGAAACATACTATAACAGAAGAATCTCACTGTAGGGTTCGTAACCATCAACGCGAAAAATGCATTGTAATTTGTGTAGATGCAAGCGAAAAGTTGAAAGAAAAGGAAAGTTTTCAGTAGGGTTGGCATCATGGTGGAATTGAAAGATCGAAAAGAAACAAGCAGACACAAAGTGAACAAAACTGAACCAGCTGTTGTTGGGCGGGTGATAAATTACATCACTCTCTATCCTCATGATGTAAGAAAAAGAGAATGTGAGTGTACTTGGGGTCAATATTGAAACAAACATAATGATAGTCATGGAATATTGTTGTTGATTCCCTGAATCGAGCGCATGTGTGATTAGACCGTCGATTAGTCTGTATGTTAAAAAAAGACAAGATTTGAAATTATAAAACTTTACTCTCATAATTTAGATCAGTTACAATTAATAAATAATGAGAACTTGAGAAGATTGAGAAAAATATGCTGTCAATACATAACGAGAAATCCTAAGATTTTTACAAAAAGTAGCTATCAGGATAGCACAAATCTCCAACACCGCAAGTGTATCCTGGAAGAGGGCATTGCCCATTCAAGCATGTTTCAAGTTTAGTTCCAGATGTGATTTGAGATGGACAACAGTATCCGGTGCTCATGCACTCGTATCCAGCAGCACAATCACTTTGTTGGTTGCAGTTTCCAGCACTGGATCCAACTGGACAACGACAGCAGACATTTCCAGCAACACAACTGTGTCCGGATGGGCAGACTCCGTTGTTACGGCAGACACCTCCAGATGGCTCGGTGGCTCCACAGAAGAATTCTGAATACTCTCACTTGTGGAATAATAAATATGATAACGACAACTTACGTCCGTTTTGATAAGTTCCAGTGAATTGTTGAGATCCATATGGCAAATATTGGTTCACATTTGTGTTGGTATTGGTATTGGTGTTTGTCTGAAATTAAAGTTTAACTGTTTTTAAAAGACTTCAGATCTCACTGGAAGGTTTCCATTGATTGGAAGAGTGTTATATGGATTATAGTTTCCATTGTTGTTGTTTGTGGAGATTGTCGCGTACGGATTATAACCATTGTTATTGTTTGAACAACAAGAGCTGGCACATGGAGAGTACACATTTGATCCCATGCTGTAGGCGACGTATTGTCTGAAATTTAACTTGCATGTGAAGTTCTTGAATTCAGTCTAAATACCCATTAAGCCATGATCCTGAGTATTGATTACAGTTCAAGTTATTGCAGTTTGAATTGCAATTCATTCCTGGGTTGTAGAAAGAGTTAGGAAGGATCACTTGATTTCCGTAGTTGTTGAAATTGCAATTGTTGTAATTGCAGTTGTTGTTTGAACTGCATGCTAAAGTAATTATCTATAATACAAACGACATACTTATGTAACTCACGATACTGTGAAACACCACCGTTGCACATGTAATACACTTGCAGTTGTCTCTTTGATCGTTTCAGATCTTTAGCTGATCCGAGAGAAGCGGATACCAAGAGAACTGCCAATGTACAGAATGCTTTTGCCATTTGGAATCGGAAGAAGGGAAATGTATGGACAGTGCATCATCGCTGATCTTTTATACATCCAAGGAGTGCTCCATCAGGAGGAGTGACGTAATGTCTGCCGTGGAATGGGTGTGTGCATGAGGACTCGGAAGAATTGGCGGGAGTGAACGGCACTTCCGAAGGACACTTCTGACCAGATCAGCGTGGGAGAATTAGAAGACAATGTTGCGTTATTTCAGAAAACGGAAGAAACATTGTTTGCGTTGTCGTTGGCGTGTTTGATCTTGATGATTTTGATAAGTACATCTAGGAAAAATCTATGTTTCTATCGCTTGAATATTCGGCTCTTTTTTAGTTTCACTGGTTTTTGTAGAAGAGTGAACCTGATCAATGAGGTGACGAACCTCACTTGTAGTAGCAATTAGCAATTGATTAGTGAAAAGGTCTTTAAAAATCTCTCTCTCTCTCGATCTGTTGGAAAATGTGAAACTGTTCTTCAAAAGTACTATCAGAGCCCCAAAAGTTGTATTTTGGATTGACAAAAAATGGATTGGGTTATCTGTGTTTGTTTAATTCAATCTTCCAGATATACGAGCAGAATTTTTTCACAATTTTCAGATTGTCTTCTGCATGAAAGTCGGAACCAAAATTTTTCAATAAGTCGCAGAACCCTCATTTACTATGATCCACCTGAAAGCAAATACGGTTTTAAATGAGCATTCCGAAATCCTTAATCCCACAGCTCTATACATTTTTTCTGCTGTTATCACATAATGTACTCTATTTGAACTTGTGAATGATGCATCTGCAAGTGAACTTATTTTTTTAATGTCAAATCCTCTGACACATAGCTGTGTCAAACTTTCTCGAACCCGTCCACAAACATTGATCAATCATATAATCGTGTGAAAAAGTGTAAGTAGGCTGCGGGATAATCAGTTGAGTGTTTGCTCTTCTGACTCACACCCAGACACCTTCCAGACATAAACATCAACCAATAGTATGCACACGTATTTCCGGTCTTCTGACCATAACCGGCTCTTCTTTTTCTTCTTCTAAGCAATCCCTCTATGTCTTTGGTCAAAACATCCTCATATTGTCGCCTTGTTGTCGGATATCGGCCTTTGACGCTTTCACTTGTTGTTATAACAACTTCCAAAGCGTGTCCCATATATTTTATCCGAGATCCGAGAAGAAGATAATATGCAAATGAGATATAAATTCGGGTCTCGTAATTTGGATTGTCTTTCTCGAATATGGCTGTGGAAAGATTTCTTCTCGCTTCAATTCTTGTAGCTGCAGTTGCATCCGAATCTGTTCATTGGCGTAAGTTATTGTTCCATTTTCTAAGTCTCACTTGTTAAAATGTCAATGCTATCTGAATTCGGAAAACATGAAAATTTCAGAATGGCGTGAAATCCGTTGCAAGGAGAACGAAACGAACGAACAAGGTCAGGCATCAGCTTGTGAACTTCAGTTGAAGGAACATGAGAATGATGAGAATCCTCGTGTGGTTCCATTCAACACTTGTACTGATGTATGTAACCTATAATGAACTAACCAATATAAGCAATATATATTTTTAGGAGACAGTCAACGGAGAACTGAAGACTTACTGTGATATTCTGTGCCCAGGAGCGGACACTGCCTACAGGTTAGTTTTAAATACAGAATAAATTTTGTCATTTTGTCATTTTTAGAATCACAAGATGGCCACAACAACACAAGACATGCTTTACCCATACAACTTATCGATTGGAGAGAAGAGAGGACAACTTTTATCTCTGGAGATCTGGAGAGTTAGTTTTTTATTATTTTCAAAACCAGAAACATCTAAACATTTTTTCAGCTGCCGTTCCTCTACTATCGGGTTCACAATCCGTTGCGAATTCAAGTCCCCACGTGACGATTTCCTCTCCGACCAAGAGCTTTTCCGTGTTGCTAGAAGACTTACCTAATTACGAATAATATGTAATCGATCAGATTGATATCTGCAAAAACTCTATTTGTATCTACTACTTTCTATATTTTCTTTAATAAACCATTATATGACCTATCAAATAACAAAAAAAACGATGATAATCAAGTAAGCCATTCATCGAGGTATACTTGGAATGAAAAAAATACAATATGTACTTGTTTATGAGTTTCTGACTTATTAAAGTTGTTAATATTTTTTAGACTGGTTTCGTACTTTTCTGGATTTCTGAATCGTTTAAATTATATATTATAGGAATATATGAATTCGAGCATTTTCTGAATTTACGAGTTTCTTAATTTTTAATTTCAAATTGCCAAATTTCCGAATACCGTAAAACCTTTTCTTTTCTTTTCTGTCTTCCGTCAAAAAATTTTGCTCCGTTGCCTTCTTCCGGGAAGCGAAACACTTAACACTGACCAAAAAAGTAAAAAGGCTCAGCAATTCGAAGTTCGTTCACAAATTTTTAACGTCAACACTTCTGAAATTTAAAGATTGAGATACCGTAACACCTGTAATAATTAAAAATTTCTCTACGTTTTCAAAACAATGTATTCCGGGAATTCCGCACTTCTGAAAAAATAATTCGTTGAAACTCTTTTTTGCTCAAAAATTTGCGTAATTATTTTTCAATTGATGGATTTTCATGCATTTTGAACGAAAACTCTAATTTTTCGATGCAAATTGTTGGAAAAAATGGCTGAAAAATAGAAGGACCCTCTGATAGAAGGTCACTCCAGAGGTACCTTGGAACAATAGAACGGCCAGCCCTTCTAATACAGGTTTTAAGGTATTCGGAAATTTGGCAATTTGATTAATTGAAAGTTCATATATTGAAAGTTTCTCATTTATTGAAAGTTTTAAAGTTTATTGAAACATTTTTAGATTTTCGGTTTTCTGTTAAATTTTATTCAAGATAACACAAACTTTTTAAAATGATCGAACAACAAAGGACACCACCCGAAGGATCGACACAAAAACTGGAAGAACAAAGATTACGACTACTAACCAGAAACACACGGACGCAGACAGCAGAGAACGCCATCTCTAAGGAAAAAAAAACGATTCTTTGAGCGGATTACAGTAATGTAAGTACACAATAATTGATGGATGAAATGTACTTCTTGAAATTTTCGAATAATTTTATAAGTATAATTAATTGTTCTTACTGCTCTTCGTTTATTTTTTAATAGTTTTGAGGTGAACATGGAAGTTTCTGAAGATTGGTGTTATCTCTGAAGGCACCACGAACTTCAATAGCATTTTCTTTCATTCATTAAGATAATTACTCAAGCGGCAGACGTTTTTTTTGGAATTCTCCTTTCAAAGCTCACATCACAAAGCAATACGAGCTCTATATGCTTCACGGAGTTTGTTAACTTATTGATGAAATAGGAGTTTAAGACGAAGAAACCGACGACGATATTCGCGAAGATGATGATAGAAACATTTCTCTTGGTTTCGATTTTTAGTTATCTTATCGCCTTTTTGGAGAACATAACATTTGAAAAGATGAATGTAGAATTCTGGAGACTTAGATCTAAATGACTTTAAGAGTTGTTTGGAACGGAGAAGAGCTAAAGATGTGGTTTTGTTGATGTGAACAGAGAATTTGAGAGAGGAATCAGTAATGAGACCCAAGTCCCGGACGGAGGGGGAGGGAGTAAGTGCGACACCCGCAATATTGAGAGGATGGGAAGAATTATGGGAACCTAGGCGAAGAAGGGCAGTTTTAGAGTGGGCAAGAGGGAGATGGTTGGCGGTAGCCTTACAACCATGTTGATATCAGTGTGAAGGGCGATTGGGTCATGAGAATAAAATTTGATATCATCAGCAAAGGCGGCAAGGTGAAGAGAGGAGATTTGTTCAAGTTCTAAGAGCAGATCATTGATGAAGATGAGAAATAGTAAGGGACCAGAGACTGATCCTTGAGGAACACCAGAGGGAATGACAGAAGAAGGGGGTCCAATAAAATCATAGATTTTGACAGAGAACGTTCGATTAGAGAGAAACGAGGAGAACCAAGTTACGTAAGATTTAGAGACTCCAAAGCTAGCAAGTTTCTGAATGAGAAGTTGATGATGTACCTGGTCGAAAGCTTTGCGGAAATCGAAAAAGACGACGTCTAGTGTATTGTATTTCAAAAGAGTAGCTTTATAATTCGAAAAAGATTGAACTAGAGAGGTGGTGCAGGATCTGTTGGAGAGAAAACCATGTTGGAGACTATTGAATTGATGGAGGAATTCCCATTTGATGCGATCACATACCAATCGTTCGAAAATTCGAGCGAATGGGTCAGTAAGCGAAATGGGGCGATAGTTTTCGGGCGATGAAGGAGAACCCTTTTTTGGTATGGGAACGACTACTGCGTGTTTCCAAGAGTCGGGTACATGTGACGTGGAGAGTGAGTCAGAGAAGATAATCGATAAAGGTAATGCTAGAGTGGTGGCGCATTTTTTAATGATAAAGTAATTGGCCGAATGGGGAGAATAGCCACAACGAGGCGGGAGTTTGCGAAGAAGCTTCTCAATTATCCAGGGATCGAAGATTTCAAGGTCAGAGCCAGAAAAAGGAAGATGATGATGACTTATTGCGGGAGTGATGGATGCGGATGAAGTGAGATGATTATAATTAGAAGAGTATGTTTTGGTGAAAAGGGTGGATTTTTCGTGTTCAGAGAGAAATAAGACAGCCATTAGCAGAAAGAGGTGGGACTTTAGGTGAAGATCTAATTCTACTTTTGATGAGGGCGCGGGCAGCACGACAGTGTGGGGCTGAGAGGATTCGGAATTCGTCACTTACCATTTTGTCATTCCCTCTGGTGTTCCTCAAGGATCAGTCTCCGGTCCAATAGTATTTCTCATCTTCATCAATGATGGTACTCTTAGAACTTGAACAAATCCCCTCTCTTCACCTTGCCTCCTTTGCTGATGATATCAAATTTTATTCTCATGACCCAATCGCCGTTCAAAGTGGTATCAACATGGTTGTAAATTGGGCTACCGCCAACCATCTCCCTCTTGCCCACTCTAAAACTGCCCTTCTTCGCCTAGGTTCCCATAATTCTTCCCATCCTCTCAATATTGCGGGTGTCGCACTTACTCCCTCCTCCTCCGTCCGGGACTTGGGTCTCATTACTATTCCTCTCTCAAATTCTCTGCTCACATCAACAAAACCACATCTTTAGCTCTTCTCCGTTCCAAACAACTCTTAAAGTCATTTAGATCTAAGTCTCCAGAATTCTACATTCATCTTTTCAAATGTTATGTTCTCCCGATTCTTGAATATTGTTCTGTAGTTTATTCCCCTCCGCCTTCTTCTCGCCTTGCTCTAAAACTAGAATCTCCCTTAAGATTTTCTCTAAGTGTATTTTCCAACTAATTCTTCTCTATAAATTTTTAAATGGCTCCGCCTACTTTCCTAACCTAAGTGCACATGTCAAATACTCCTCCTCCCCTCGTCGCCCTATGAACTTAATTAATGTTCAGCCCTACTCCTCTGACTATTTTTCTTCAATTGTTTTGGAACGCCATCACTTCCCAAGTTACCCGATTTCTCCTACCTTCCGAGTTTGAATCCTTAATTTCTTCCAGTATTACTCGTTATTGATATATTTGCTCCCCTATTTTTCTTTTTTTCTTTTCTCTTCTTCTACTGGTTACATCTTTCCTGGTCAAATATCTAAATTATCCCGTTTCCCCTCCCCTACTCAGATCGGCCTCGTGAGGGGCATTTTTCTCAGTCTTTCATGTCTTGCCCTCTAATGTTTTATTACACCTGATCAATAAACAAATTAAATTAAGACTGATAAAAATTCTTGGTTTTGATGCCTCCATTGNNNCGAAAGNTTATTTATATCAGTTTCAAGAATAAAACCATCAAAATCAATAATTTGTGATAACTGAAAATTTTGATGTTTTGAGACTATGATTCTATATAACATTCAATCCGGCGTTAACAGTAAGAACCATCAAAGCGTCTACAGTTATTCTGTCAAATTATTGATTTTGATGGTTTTATTCTTGAAACTGATATAAATAAACTTTCGAAACAATAAAACCATCAAAACCAAGAAAGTTGATGTCGATCAAAAAATTGGTTCAAAATCGGATCTCATGAGTAATTTTTCAAAATCCACAAAAAGACACGTGAAATCAGAAAAAATTTGAATTGTTTCACTAGGTGCAGAATCGGTTTGCCTACCGATTTTGTCCCCTCTCGTGGCACAATTCAAATAATACTTGAATTCGGCGTGACCTCTTTTTCCTTTGAAGAAGTACAAAATCGGGAGGCGAACCGATTATGTACCTGTAGAAGAAAAGAATGCACAGAGCAACGAAAAGTTCAAAATGCAGGAAGATTGGTTGTCACCTGTATTTGAGCAAACTACTACTACACTATCCACACTGTCCCAACTGTCTACACTGTCCAATTTTAATTTGTCCACCTATTTTTTGTTCAAGATCATTTTCAGGTTCATCAAATAAACATTTTCTATAACTTTGACTAATTTCTGGAATATTTATAATTTTTGTACAGAAAATTCAGAAATCTGGTGAAACTGAAATAAATATTACATGGTACAGGAAATCATCAATTCGAGCTATTTCTATACTTGCGAAAAAAATTCTTCAAATTTCAACCGTCTTATATCGAAAAGTAATCAACTGACAAAATGCTCATCAGTGTATCAGTAATATTTTATTAGTTGACCGCTTTACGATATCTTTGAAAGGAAACGAGGTAAATTGGATCAAAGTGGGGGAGTGCAATTAGGTTTACCATGCCCCGATACTGAACATTTGGCCGATGAAACACCAGTAGGTAAAACAAAACAAAGAAGGGTCCCGCTTATGTTTTTCTCAATCTTTCAAAAAATATCAAAACATTTCAATTGGGTTTTACACTTGTATCGAGGACTGATCTTACAAGGGAAGGTTTTTCAGACAACGGTTGAGAATTTGCTTTACATCATTAAAAACGGGGAATGAAAGGGACTCATTTCAAAGTGGGCGGGATATATCAAGTACATCTGTGGCAAGCCTTACATCAATAAGCCATAGATTGAAAACTCTCGGCAAAGTCAAAAAGGTGGAAAGGAATGGACAACACCTTTTGGCTCCACGCAACTAGGATACACATGTGGACACCTGTTTGAATTGTCTCATTCTGCATTGCACAAATGAATGGTGGAATCAAGCCATTAATAGTGATAATAAACGGGCAATGTATGATTACAATAAACAACAAACCAATTAGGTTGACAAAGGCGCCAAACCACCAGATGTCCCGAAACACGAAATTTGTCATAAAAAAGGGATGTTGTGGATATGGTGGTCTACCAAGGAGTGGAGTATTGGAAGCAACTAGACGATGGTGCCACTATCACGACCGGCTTCTACTCTTGTCATTTGAGATAACTCAGACTTTATGTGGACCTCCATTGGAGAAAAAAACGAAGGTTTATTTTCAAAATTACAATCTGCGACCTCATGAGGGAAGGAAGACCGAAAACGATCTCGCTGGATATGGCTGGACAGTTCTGTCGTATCCATCGTGTAGCCCCAAAACTTGTACTCTCTGACTACCACCGATTCAGCCATTTCTAACGTCATAGGAGGCACCCATAATTTGGTGGATCGTTGGCAGAAAGTCATTGATAACAATAATCATTGCCTCCAATTTATGCGACATCGTTTTGACCATTTTCACATTGAATGTATCTGACGCTAAAAATGGGAGGAACTTTCCGAACAAAAAATGGGAGGAACTTTCCAAACAACCTAATATACCACTTCTATATTTTTAATTGCTGTTATTTTGAGGCACAGAATCTCCAAATTTTGAACATTTGAATATTTGAACTTTCAAATTTCGGAAATTATAATTTACAGAATTTTTGAATTTCCAAAATTTCAAACTTCAGAGTTGTCGAATGCTGGTTTTCCAAATATCTGACTTTCCCAATTTCCGGATTGTTTTCTAAAATTTTAATTTTCGAAACTATCAGATTTAAAAGATTGAGAGATGTAAACCACAAACTAAAAAAAATAAATGAACTATTAGAAAGCTTCGGATTATCAGCTCTTGGACGATATCACCAAGGCATGAAGAACAATGCTTTCTCGAACAGTAACTCTTTACGATCTGGATCAGCCCCTGTTCAAGAACGAGAACGGAAGTTTGTGCGAGTTCGAGGAATTCTTAAAATGTTCACATTCCCATTCACGGTATGTCACATGTACCATTACCATTATTTCGATTCCCGTCAGTTTCTCTCCGTCTACATCTCTTTCATACTATTTCCGTGCTTTCCAATCAAACAATCTCGTCCCCGTGTGTCAGTTCCCATTCTTGTCACCACCAGCCGATAGTTACTATTTGCCCAAAAACTCGGTGTATCAGTCAATGTTTTGTGTTGTCTCTACATCTAATTCTTTTTTTTGTAGCATACAAAAAAGTACAACATACAAAACACGGATTGATAAATTTGGACAGACGAAAGATAAGCAATACATTATTTAATCATATGAGATTCTCATATAAAACAAATTCCCATTTGGAACTTTTCAATCTTCCCTTCTTCTTCTTTTCCAATTTCATGATTGTCTTTTCACATTCTTCACTTTTTTAATTTTCAGTTCCCGTGTCGACAATTTAATTCTGATTCATAGAAAAATAGAAAAATCATTGTCGTTGGCTACTGTGCCAACCGGTTCTCCTATTTTTCGTTCTCTTCCGTTTTCTCCCTTTATTCGATAATAGTTTTTCTCCGCTCTTCATGCCTTTCATTCCATATATTGCGCTCCTTTTTTGATATAAGAATTTTCATATATTTAGAACAATATTTCATATCTAATCTAAAATTATATGTTAAATCGATTTTAGAATCCGACACAAACAATTCTTTGATTTTGATTGACCTTCCAAACAATTAAAACTTCGAAAAATGATAAGATAGGAGTGATGACCAGTGAAGTAAGACCTTGTTTAGTTCAGTTTATCGAGACAGTTTTGGTTTTATCGAACTAAATTATTATGCTCTATTCGATTTTACAAATCTTGCAAATGAATATTTTTTCAGAAAAATCTTGGGGATGAACTCGCTTTATCTCCTCTTCCTAGTACTACTCGGCGTAGACGCTGGAAAAGTTCTGGTATACAGTCCATCAATCAGTAGAAGTCATTTAATTTCGAATGGACGGATTGCTGATGCACTCGTCGACGCAGGTCACGATGTAGTCATGTTCATTCCCGAATATGAACAGTTGACAGAGTTCACGGGGACCAAGAAGGCTACAGTTATCACAATGAGAGGATTCAGTGAGCGGTTATAAAAATGAGAAACAAAACAAAGATTCTAACTTTCTAGGCACAAAATATGAAGAAGAAATGGAAGGTTTGGGAGTCACAATGTTCTCAACTTCCAGATTAGGATTCTGGGAGAGAGTGATGTTCGAGAAATCAATCACTCACATGTGCGACGGTAATTTTTCAGAAATCGAACAGAATTTTCAATTGTGAATTGTTATTTTAGATCTAATGGCAAAGAGAGAAGAATTGGAACCACTTCGTGCAATGAAATTCGACGTAGCATTCAGTGAACAGATTGATTTGTGTGGAGTTGGAGTTATTCGATACCTTGGAATTCAGAACCATCTATGGATTTCAACTACTCCAATCATGGATGCTGTCAGTTATAACTTGGGAATTCCATCTCCAAGTTCATATGTACCTACAATTGAAGAAAATGATAATGGAGATAAGATGGATTTCTGGCAGAGAACTTTCAATCTTTACATGCATTTTGGATCTATTGCAGTTCACAGATACGGAACTGATGGAACCACGGAAGTGAGAATCGTGAATTGAATGTTTTTAGACATTAAAATATTTTCAGGTATTCCGAAAATACGATCCAGATTTCCCAAATGTAAGAGATATCGCTGCCAACTCTTCTTTGTGTTTCGTCAATTCTGATGAAGTTCTGGATCTTCCAAGACCGACAATAACGAAAACCATATACATCGGAGGACTAGGAGTTCCGACAGTAGCAAAGCCGTTAGATGAGGTTAGAGATAAAGAGAAGCTCTACCAATTCGTTTTTTTTTTCAGAAATTTTCGAAGATAATGTCGAAAGGAAAGAAAGGTGTTGTTGTGATCTCTCTTGGATCAATCGTTCCATTTGGAGATCTTCCACTCCCATCGAAAAAAGGAGCATTGAAAGCAATGAAAGAGATGACTGACTATCATTTCCTTATTAAAATTGCAAAGGGTAAAAAACCGGTATATTACTTGTGCAAATTCAATTCTAATTTCAGACGATGAGAACACGAGAACCTTGACAAAAGACATGAATAACATTGATTTGGTTGAATGGCTTCCACAGGTTGATCTTCTTGCCCATCCTCGTTTAAAGCTGTTTGTGATGCATGGAGGAATCAATGGATTGGTGGAAACAGCTCTTCAAGCAGTTCCAACTGTTATTGTACCAATTTTCGCTGATCAGTTCCGAAACGGAAGAATGGTTGAAAAAAGAGGAATCGGAAAAGTTCTCCTGAAGCTTGAGATTGGTTATGAAAGTTTCAAAAACGCGGTTCAAACTGTTCTGAATACTCCAAGCTACAAAGAAAATGCGATTCGAATTGCTCGAATGATGAGAGACAAACCATTTACCCCAGAAGAACGTCTTGTCAAATGGACGACATTTGCAATTGATCATGGAGTTTTGGAAGAGCTCCACGTGGAAGGTTCCAGACTAAATACAATTGTCTACTACAATTTAGATGTTTTTGCTTTCCTACTGTTTGTTACTGTTGTCATATTTCATGTTTTCCTATACGCTTTTAAGTTTTTGTGTTTTAGGAAGAGATCACCTGTGAAAAGTTCTAAAAAGAACGATTAGATTTTCTAGTGATGTTTTAATAATGATAATAAACTTTTGAAGTTTTAAAACTACAATCTATCCGGTGAAATCAAAGAAGATGACCGGAAAATTTTGATCTTGTGTTGAACTTTTGGCCAAATACGCTAGACTCTTTTTTGAAGTGAGTGTTAAAAGATAGGGTAGTCTATGCAAACAAAAATCAGAACGGTTGGCGAACGGCAATAAATCGGTACGTATAGTTAGGGAGCAGAAACTCGTTTCGAACATGCAAACACCGTATCAGCACATTCTTTTGGACGCAGAGAGTACCCGCAACCTTTTTTCCATCTTCGCAACTCTCGATTCCCGAAGAAATAACATATTAGATGGTGAGACGACACACGTGTTCTTCGGATCCATTGGCAAATGCCACCTGTGCTATGTTTGCGCTCGTCATGGAGCCGGTTGATGGATAGAGTCTGATAAGTGGGAAGCAACTTTCCGGTATGTGTTCGATGGTTAGTGGAGAATTGAGGGGGAGGAGAATAGTATAAAAGGCTGAAACCTTGATTGAAAGGGTATCAGTTGCCAACTAGCAGCTTTTCAAACATTTTCAGAATGCGCTTCATCGCTATTGCCGCTCTTCTTGCTTCTAGCCTTTTTCTTGTAGAGGTAAGAGACACGAGAACGGCTTAAGGTAGTATGTAATGAATACTTCTTGAGAATATACAAAATAATAGGGAATATTCATAATGCCTAGTAAACTTTTAAAAATTATATAATATTTTAGGGAACTGCCATCCGCGATAAGCGCCAATCCTGCGGCTGTGCTCCAAGAGTTCAACCAAGTTGTTCATGCCAAAGAACCTCCTACGCTCAGCCGCAACAGTTCAGTTGTTCCTGTCATCAGAACACCGCTCCAGTCCAGAAATCATGCTCGTGTGCCCAGCCAGTTCAACAACAAACCTACCAAGTGCAAACTTCCCAATGTGCTCCAGCTTGTAAGCAGTCGTGCCAACAGCAATGTCAGGTTGCTCCATCTGTTGACCAATGTCAATCTTCCTGCCAACAAACTTGTCAGACATCTTCCTGCTATGCTCCAACCCAGACTGTTATGATTACCACCACCCAGGCTCCACAATACTGTCAGCCATCATGCATGCCAGCTTGTGAACAATCCTGCGTTGCTCAAACTCCAGCTCCAGTTCAATGCATGCCACAATGTCAGCAACAATGCCAACAACAATGTGTCCAGACTCAGCCAATCCAACAGTGCCAACCACAATGCCAACAACAATGCGTTCAGCAATGTGATGTCCCAACTACCACTGCAGCTCCACAAATCATTAAGATCAACTTGGAAATCTCTGCTCAATGTGTTCCACAATGCCAGCAATCCTGTCAACAGCAATGTGTTCAACAACAAGTTCCAGCCCAGCAATGCAACCAACAATGCACCCAACAATGCCAGACCACCTGCCAACAAGCTGTTCCACAATGCCAACAGCAATGTGCTCCACAATGCCAGCAACCATCGGCTCCACAGTGCCAGCAGTGCCAGAATACCTGCCAACAATCTGCCCCAGTTGTTCAACAACAATGTCAGCAACAATGTGCTCCACAATGCCAACAGCAATCCGCACCAGTCTGCCAACAATGTCAATCTTCCTGCCAACAGACCCAGCAATGCCAGCAGCAGTGCACTCCACAATGCCAACAACCATCAGCTCCACAGTGCCAGCAATGTCAATCTGCTTGTCAAGCCCCAATTATGACCACCACTGCTGCTCCACAAGTTGTTACCATTATCCTTGAAGCCTCCGTTTCCCAATCTGCTCAATGTGAACCACAGTGCCAGCAATCCTGCCAACAACAATGCGTTCAACAACAGCAACCAGTTCAGCAATGTGCTCCAGCATGCACCCAATCCTGCTCCCAATCCTGCTCCGCTGCTCAACCAGCTCAGATGCCGTGCCAGACTCAATCCGTCAATTCGTGTACCTGCCAACAAAACTATTCTCCATGTGGAAACGGACAATGCTGCAAAAGAAAGTGAATAGTCTGATCCATTAGGTCAATTCTCTGTATATACGTTCAGTTTTTTAAATGTAATTTTCACTTCCTAATAAATAATAATAACTTCCAAGCTTCATCTTCTACACAATCGAAAAATAGGTATCTAGTTGACAGCTGTCGTTTAATCTCAATTATGTCATACTCTACAAAACTACCGTGAAAAAAACAACACTTGATTTTTTAAAAAATTTCCAAAAAACCACGTCGTCTATTTTATCACCACGAATTTTCAACAAAAACCATTACTATTTCTCTACATAGAATTTTGGTATGTTTTTTTTTTTGAATCGCTGATCACCTATGATTCAATTTTGTTTCAGAAAAAGGAAATACTTCAAAAGTGTGAACCAATGTCATGGTACTCAAAAATCTACGTGGCAGTGAGAGAATATCGTGGAAAGCATCGGAACATCGGATGGATCCTAACAAGGTGTCTCAATATCCTTCTTGTCACCCAACTGATATTCCTATGGATGACGTGAGCGACTTTCTTCAGAAAATCTCAGATGAGAACAACTTCAGATTGTATGTTTACATAAAAGTCACAATAGGATATTATGTACAATCCCATGTTCAAGCAACCATTTATCTCATCATATCCTCTTTCCTATTTGTCATGTCAATGTGGAGTCTCGCCAAAACTTTATTCACCAAAGTCGGAAGAGTTCCAGAGAAGTATCGGCCGAGTAAAGAGTTGGAAGATCGTCTGAAAGCAGTCACTCCATACGAAAACAATCGCTACGTAGTTGAGAAATCTACACCAGTGCAGGTTAGTTTGAGACCCTCGTAAAAATAGAAAATTCTTAAATTTTCAGCTGAAACAACAAAACATAATTCTGGAGGAGATGTGCACTTTCTGTAAAGTAGTAGTTGCAGAATGTGATCAAGTGGGGCGACTGAAGTATTGTTACGAGTGTGGACATATCAAACCGGATCGAACTCGTCATTGTAGCTCATGTGGGAAGTGTTGCATTAAGTATGATCATCACTGTCCGTGGATCAACATGTGTGTTACACACGCCAATTACAAGTATTTTCTGCTCTACATTATCTACACAAGCATTCTTGTTTATTGGTATTTGCTCACATCACTCGAAGGTGCTGTTCGATATTTTATCATTCAAAAATGGAAAGAGGACTTGTGGAAGATATTGTACTACTTGTTCAGTTTCATTGCTGGAGGAGTATTTGGATATTATCCACTTGGGGAATTGATCATTTTCCATTATCAGTTGATATCACTAAACGAAACAACTGTTGAACAAACGAAGCCGGCAGTTCTGCGATTCGACAACGCTGCAGATTACAATATGGGAAAATGGAACAATTTTAGAGCAGTTTTTGGATGGGGTGTATGGATGTGGCCAATTGAATCAAATGAACAGGATGGATTGCATTTCGATATAAGGTGTAATTCAGATTTTTGAGATTTATGAGGATTTTGTTTTGAGGAATTTGAAATATATTTTCAGATACGTCAGCACTCAACAACGAAATCGTTTCGTTAGGATCGAAGAAGAACAATCCAGCTCTGCTCCAAGTGCCGATTCATCTACTCATTGATCTCTTTTTCATTTGATAAATCATTTCAACGAACACTTTTCTCTTTGTTGTTCAACTCCCTATTCCTTTAAAGACCACATCATATCTTCGACCTCTGAAACCTTTCCGTTACCATAAATAGAAACATAAACATTCCTTCTGTTGTCCATTACGTTTCGCGAACTACCTTCACAAAACCTGAAATTCCCATTTCTCCAATTCTTGGTCTTCTTCCCATTTTCATCACAAAACAGACCACACCCCGCAGAGATTTTACCAGTTGGATTCTTGTCATTTTATCACTCATTTACAATTCCTTTTTTGTTCTGAAGAGGAATCTCTTAACAATTTCTCAATGTCAAACATGAAATCAACACATTGGCGAGGCAATTAAGTAGTAGCCTGTCCCCAAATAAATAAGTTAAGATTTTGATTTTCGATTCTTGCCTGACTAATTTTGAAACTTTTTTCCCGGAAAACTGTACTTTAATCGGAAAGTTTCAAACTTGGTTTCATTGATTCCATAAGAGGATTTTTCCCACAATTCTCTATTTTTCGTTCTTTTTTTCTTGTTTCTGATCTCCCAACTTTTCCATTGTGAGAACTGAAACGAAACCTGCCTAGTAAGGTCACTGATACTGATTGATCGATAGTGATTCATTGAGAAAAAAGAGAGAAGAGAGAAGTGATTTGATTCGATTCGATTCCAACCAGAAACTTCGATTTTTCGCCAAACAGTGGAATCACAATGCACATACCGACTTTCCTCTAATACGTAGAATCCCAAATTGTCAATTTGAGCTCAATTAGCTCGATTCCAGTGAAAGATAACAACATTTTGTCAATGATACATTATTCATCACAATATCACCAACATCTTATCAGTTGACAGCGTTTTGATGCTCCCTACAAGAATCTAGATAATTGAGCTCCAAGTTGACGATTTCGATGGGCAATCGGTGGACTGTTTATACAGTATTTTCAGACGTTTTGAAAGTAATCATTTAAAACAATAACGTTTGATATCTAATCATCTAAAATCAAACGAGATACAAAGTTATTGCTGAAATATCTGCAAACATCTGTTTGCGAAAATCGAAAAACAATTTTGATTGATCGGAAGGTCATTTCCAGTAAATAATGTGATTGAATTAAATTGCATGATCAATTTTTAATCAGACCAGATTCTACTGAAACTCTCAATTCGAAAAAAATACCGTATTTTCTCAAACAGAAGACCATCTCTAATAGAAGTCCACCCTGGCTGTAGCTGTTCGTCTTCTTAATTATGCTACTTTTATTAACTGTCTGAAAATTTCTGTAAATTCTTATCGTTTTTTTGATCTTCTAGAAGTCCATCCTGAGAAGAAGGTTGAAAAATAGAAGCCCATGGTCCATGGACCTCTATAACAGAAAATACGGTAATCTTCAGTAAACTAAGATATTGAGTCTTGAAAAACTTTGAAACGAGATCAAGTTAAACAATCAATGCTTATCAGAAAAACTATCAATCACCTAAACTTTTTAGAAAGTTCGAAACTCGACAACGGTATCTTAAACTTCAGTTTTTCACGAGTAAAAGTTATCGACCATTGTTTTATGCTTCCAATTATCAATCGATGACCCAGATGCTATCCTATAGTTGTTATGAGTAAAACACAATAGGTTTGATATCTGATTTGTTGATTTTTGAGTGATTTGACATATATTTTTTCTCTCTTCTCCTTCGCACACACCGTCCATTCCGATTTTTTTCGCGCCCACCCACAGAAGGAAAGAAAGAAGAGAAAAGAAAATGAAGACATGTAGTCTGTGGGTTAGCATGGGGATACCTTGGGGTTTATTTTCGCGCTCTACTGCTGATGCTGAAGGCGGTTTTTATCAAAAACCGAACAGAGGCCGTCAATTGACCGTTGGTTCTTTGATTGATTCTACCATACCCATAAGAATACTTCGTCGTTCTTTTCCCATTTTGACTTCTGAGCGATTCTATATATTTTCAGAAGACGTCAACGATGGAAGACGTCGACTTGGGCAAAGACCGGACTCAGCTCATTGACTTTGTATATGCAGTGAGTTGATATTAAACTTTTTGATGATAAACCTTATAAATCGAACAAGGGAAAACTTCAGAGAACTGAAGCCTTTATCTGAGTTAGCAGGTTACAATAGTTCAACCACATTTGATCATTAAAAATATATAATTTCCGTTTATCTTCATTCAGAATTGGAATCAACACAATGAAAATTCATTATATTTGAGGAAACATTTCGGTTACGTGCCTACCGTAAAGCCTGTAATAGAAGGACACCCACACTGTCAAGTTTGAGATCAATTATCTCAATTTTTATGCAAGATCTCAAAAATGTAAACTGGCAAAACACTTCCGAAATTATGATAAATCATTTAATAGTTTACAACTTTATCTTCTTATTTTCTAATTTTTCAAACTTAATATTTATTTTCCTTATCGTACCATCGCTTCGGACTCATAGTGGTATGTATTATTTTTTGAATTCTGAATTGTTTACAGTTTCTCCTATCATAATTCAAGACAAAAATGTAGGTGTTGATACAACTATTTTTATCTTCTCCCCTCTTCTATGTTTTCATTGAATGGGGGTCGCCGACAGCATCTTCAAGACCAGGAACTAAGGTTCAAGGATGAGTGACGGCGATTGATTCTCCTCTTAATCTTCACACTTTCCTCGTCATACAATTGACACAATGACGTTATTTTACAGAATGGAAATGGAAACGGATCAGCATCCAACTTGAATCAACGAAATAATGGATCTTCAAATAATATCCCACTCTCGGAGAAGGCTGTGAAACAACCACTACAGTCCCAACCACAATCACCACCACCACCAAAACCACAAAAACAGAAGAGCCCTGCAAAACCAAAAAAGAAGATAGCATGTGCTCCTGGATCGGCTATTTGTCTCTTTTTATTAGCAGTCGCCGCTATTATATTTGCTGCATTTTTGGGACATTATCTGACAAAACAAAATTACGAAATGATGCAATTTAAGAATTCGAATGAATCGATGGTAGTCTGCAAGAACTAGTAGGTCAAAATTTAGGAATGCAACGTAATTGTTAAATTTCAGTACTCGACCACACAAGAAAACGCATCGTCCAATTGTGAACGAAGAAGATGCAGACGAGAATGATGCTATCAAACAACCAACCAAAGAAGAATTGGCTCTCCCAAAAAGTGTTCAACCTGTTTGGTATGTGATCCATGTTTGTACGTTTGATTGAAATTTTAATTAACTTCATTTTAATTAATTCATCTATTTTAACTATACACATTTCTAAGACGTTTCCAATTTTATAAAAAATATCGAAAACGAGTTTCAGGTACGATGTGAGTCTATCTCCAAAAACTGGAGGAAACGGAACAATGGGATTGGCTCTTGTGAAATTGAATATCACTGAACCCACCAACAAGATTGTTCTAAATGCGAAAGGAATAGAATTCACTAAAAATTTGGAGAAGATTCAGTTATCCAAGGAAGCTACCAAACGATCAAAGGTAAAGCAAACATAACCGTATGAAACACAATTTAATTTATCTTTCAGAAATCTGCTGAAGAAATCTCTGCAAACGTCACGAATTCAAAATCTGAAATGCCAGAAGGATCTGGAATGAGACCAGAAGAAGAGTCTGTTCCATCGACAACAACTACGACAGAAGCTACCCCAGTGTCTTCTTTAGTGGATACTGGAATCAAAATTACCGGAATCGAGTTTAACGAAGATTTGGAACAAGTCGTATTAACTTTGGATCAAGAATTGAAGAAAGGAAGCGAAGTTGTCCTGAAAATTCCATTCACATCGAAAGTAACCAATAGTAATGGATTGAAAGAATACAAATACAAAACACCAAATGGAGAAGAGAGGAGCATGTTCACTACTCAACCAAGCTACGCCTACATGCGTCACGTCTTCCCAAGTTTCGATCAAGAATCATTCAAAGCTCCTGCTGCATTGACATTGATGCATTCTAATGGATCAGTAGTTGTAGCAAACACAGAAGTTAAAACTGAAGATGACGGGTATGAGATTTCAAGAAACTATCAGGAAATAATGTTCTGCTTCCAGAGATTCCCTAACTTCCACTTTAAAAAAGGTTCTGGATCCTGATTTCGTTATTGGAGATCTTGTAGCAAATGAAGTGAACACAACCAGCGGATTGACAGTAACCAATTTTTTCACGCTTAGAATACGAATTTTTATAAATTTAGATCAGAATTTGGACAAGGCCAGAAGTGCAACATTACACTGAGCAAGCATTGGACTATGCTAACCAGGCAATTGACGCTCTCGAACATATTCTTCAATCCAGACTTGAGAGCAAAACCTTGGGTAGGGTGTTTTAAATATTTATCATCATTATAGTGACATTTCAGACATCGTTGCTGTTCCTGGATTCCAACCAGGAAACAGAGTCAGTCCATCGTTCATTGTACTCCCGGAAGAAGATGTTCTTTACAATGAACATTCTAACAATATTAACCAAAAAGCTCATTTGGCGAGAGTTCTTTCTAATAGAATCGCTGCTCAATGGTTCGGAGGAATCACGAATCCAGAGGAATTCGGAACATTCTGGTTGAATGATGCTCTTCCGAAGTTCCTTGAAGTTGAAGCTCTCGAGAAAATTCTTGATGTCAAATCGGTGAGATTTCGAAAATGATTCAACCAAATTATTTATAATTTTTAGGACGATCTATGGACATATGAGCTAGAGAAGATTTTCGAAAGAGATGCCACTGCTACATCCCAACCATTAAGAGTCAAAAATGTTTTCTCTGCTACTGATATTGCAGCAATTGATCATGAATTCATTGGAAAGAAAGGAGCAGCTGTACTTCGAATGATCCAAAAATCTGTTGGAGAAACCGCTTTCAATAAAGCTATTCGGGTACGCATAGTTTTAAAATTCGAAGATCGATTTTGAAAAATTACAGAGCTTTGTTTCGTCATACCGTTCTGCTTATCCATACGATGATGGCCTCTGGAAATCTTTTCAAAAAGCTATTGGTCAAAAATTGAAAGGATGGAACAACGAACCATTGGATGTTGCGAAGTTTGTAAACACATGGGTTGATCAAATCGGATTCCCATTGGTTTCGGTCGATAAGCTGGATGATGAAAATGTTGAACTATCTCAAGAGAGATTCAAGAATGATCATAAAACGAAAGAGCAATTTAAGTTCCGCAACGCTAAATACTGGTTCAACTGGGAAGTTCCACTCTTTTTGAAAAGCTCTGGTCCAGTTGGAAACGTTTCGTGGCTTCATGAAGCATTCAGACTCCCATTGAATACTTCTGATTCTATTTACTTGAATACTGATTCGAATGGAGTTTATCGTGTGAATTATGAAGAAATAAGATGGAATGAAATTGCCAAGTATCTGGAGAAATCGCATGGAAAGCTCTCGGAGAGAACTAGAGCTCGCCTTATTTCTGATGTATTCGCTCTGGCTAACAGTGGAGCTCTTCCGTTTGAAACTGCTCTCAATGTTACATCGTATCTTCCAATGGAAACCGGAACAGTTCCATGGCTTATTGCATCCAGAATCTTCAAAAAATTGACACAAAGATTAGAGGGAGCACCTATTCAAGAAAAACTAAATGTATCGCAATATTTATAAGACGTTATCGTTAATTTGAATTTTTTCAGAATTATATCTACGAGAAAATTCATAAGGAGTTCGATAAAGTCAATACCTCTCCGGATATTGATTCCAACTATCTCGAAAGTCTTCTTCACTCGAATCTCCTTGATCTGATGGCTATTGTTAAACCTGCAAAATCAAACGTGAAGCTGAATCAAATATTTGTGGAATCCTTCTTGGCACCATGTCAGTTCTCTGGTAATTTCAGCAGCGACTGTTCCGAGTGAGTTTTTGAGGGGAGTATTAAATTAAACAAAAAAAATTCCAGGGTTCCGGGAGAACTTCGGGAGAAGGTTTACTGTAATGGAGTTGAGTTCGGAAACGATACAGTTTTTGAAACAGTCAAGGAACTAGCAGCGAAAGAAGTCGATGAAACCGAGAAAGTCATTCTTCAAAATTCGTTGGCATGCTTCAGAGATCCACGTGTTCTTCGCCGAATGATCCTGGAAAACTTGAACAGCAAAACAGATGCAATTCAGCTATTGAAGAAAATGAACAGCCGTCCAGTTGGAAGAGAAATCGCAACTAACTGGATTATCGACAATTGGTCTACTATTCTGAAAAAGAAGTTCAAGAATGATTCAGAAACTTTGAACGCAATTGCAGATGCTGGAATTGTTTTGAATAACGAAAGAGAGAAGAGTACGATTGAAACATTCATGGAGCATCATCGCAAGAGCACAAATGGAATCGAGAGTCTCGACAGAAAGATTGAAGAAGCAACGACAGATATTTATTGGAGAAAACAAAGAGTTATGGAATTGAACGATTATTTGGATGGAAAAATGAAGGGACCGACTAAAGAAGAGGAAGAAGGAGATAGTGAAGAGCAAGAGTGATGGCAAAAATAATGGCATTTATTAATTTTTAGAGGATGAGACTTGATTGATATTGTTTATATTTATTTGTGTGAAACCGGTCAGGAATTTTTCATAATGTTGTTTTGCTACTATTTCCACTTTACATTGCATTTTGATGAAATTTTTAAATTCGTTCGCCTTCAGTGTATATAGGGTTCTTCAGTTTTCACTTCTTCTTCATGGAAAACTGGCTATTGAAATTTGTCTCGAAATTTTTGAAAATTATTGTTTGAAACTTGAATTTGAAAAACGTATTGGTTGAGTCCTGATCAAGCCAGTCAGTTTTCTATAGAAGAACTGCAACTTCCCATAAATAACGGATTACCGGTAAACCTCCAATAGAAGTCCTTAACTTGTAGTTTTCAGCCAATTTATCTCGGTTCCTGTCAATGATATGAAAAATTTCCCAACTGATGAATTGTTTATCATAATATCACGATCATTTATCAGTTGATACATTTTTGATATATCTTATAGGAACCGAGATAATCAAGCTCAAACTTGCCAGTGCGGGGGCCTTCTATTACAGGTCTCGCGGTATAAACTACATTATCGAATGAAAAAGATGTCACGGTGCTGTTAGAGAAAAATAGGACATTTTGAGACCGTACGAAAATGATAAGGACTTGTCTCGTAGTTCTGGAAATTTTAAAAACCATAAAAGAAAAAATATGGTCTGCGCAGAACGTTACTTCCCCTAGAATATTTGGATTATTAGCTTTTCTGGGTGACCTTCAGAAGTGATCTTTATATCCGGACAGATTTTTAGAAATCTATCGAATAATAGTTCGGTTCAACTGAATTCGATATTAACCCCATTCGTCATTTCATTTCACCCCCTATTCTTGTGTTTTCTGTCGTGTTTTGTGCTACTTTCTCTAAACTCTCTCTCTCTTTCTTCTGCCAAGTTCAAAGAACCTAACCTTCGCTGTTGTATTTAACCAACCCAACTCTTCCACAGACTGTTTGCCATCATGCGTCTATTTCTATTCCTCTCGCTACTTTTTGTTCTCTATTATAATGCATCAGCCTACAATTATCTCGTTGTTTCTCCCGTTTTTGGATATAGTCATCTGAAATTTATGAGCAAAGTGACAGATACGTTGGCAAATGCGGGACATAATGTGGTATGGAAGATTTAAAACAATGTTTGTATTAAATTACAGGTTTTTCAGACGCTATTACAAACTTACGTTTACGAACACTGGGGAACTATTAGAGTTGTAAAAAACAAAAACATTGAGGTTGGATGTTGTTACTCATCTTTAAGCAAATAAAGGTATTAAGATTGTTGATTACTATAATAAAGATGCACCAAGTCATGAACAATCAGCCAGTGTTTTCAAATTCTTTTGGGATAGTGAAGTTGTGAATAATCCGATCACTGGAGCAATAGCTGTGAGTCAGCTCTTCTTTATTTTCCCCTATTCTAAGATTTTCAGCCAATGTTCATACTATACAACGAATTCAAGCCAATGTGCGATAGTGAGTTTGATTTGATAAGAACTAGAGTGGGGTTTTTCAAAATGTTTCCTAATTTGTCATAAGGGTGAAATTGCGAAACATTAAGAGTGGAAAACGGTATTTGTTCTGACAAAAAAGATCGGTCAAAGGTTGGAAACAAAAGGGTATGGAGGAAAAAGAACACGAATCGAAGAGAATAATCCAAACATTTTGATCTATTTCCAGAAGTTCTGACTGATAAAGAGTTGCACGATTGGATTAAATCCAAGAATTTTGATGGATTCGTCGCAGAAGCTTTCGACTTCTGTTCGCTATGTGAGACTCTCTTTCTTTGTTCTTCTGAAAAGTTCAACTATTTCAGATCTCGGGGATCATCTTAAAATGAACTTGATGCCAATGTTCTCCACCATCAAAAACATTCCAGGTTCCTATGCTATTGGGGAACCATCTGCTCTTAATTTTGCACCCTGTGAGCTTACCTCGTCTCCTCTATATTTGTAAACTTGTTTTTCAGCTCTACATACAAACTACGGCCCAGATCAAACAGTTTGGGACCGTCTTCAAGACATTACTTCTTTTACTTCCTTCCATTACGCATTCTCAAATCTTTATGACAGACAGTACAGACAAGCGTATTCTCTTCTGAATGGAGAAGTTCGTACATGGAAGGATATTCTGCAAACAGCCACATATTTCTTTAACAACAATAATCCTTACATCGGATTCCCAATTCCAACTCTTGCCAAAACTGTAGAAATCGGAGGGTTCACAATAGATCCACCTAAACATGAGAAACTGGAAGAAGAATTCGACAAAATTCTGAATCTTCGAAAGTCGACAGTTCTTATTTCATTCGGAACAGTTGTGCAATCAGCTGATATGCCAGAAGCATTCAAGTTAGTTGTTTAGTTTCATTTTCGAACTTCCGATTATATTTCAGAGATGGACTTGTGAAAATGTTTGCCAACTTGCCAGAAACTACATTTATCTGGAAATATGAAGTAGAAGACGACGAATTTTCAAAGCAACTCTCAGAAAATGTGATTCTCAAAAAATGGGTGCCACAACCAGCGCTATTAGGTGAGTTCTGAAACTATTTTATTGATATCAGTTATCATTTCTAGCTGACCATCGTCTCAACCTCTTCATCACACACGGAGGTCTCGGAAGCACCTTGGAAGTTGCTTATGCTGGAAAACCATCTCTTATGGTATCGAATAATTTATAACCTTAACTTGTAGTATTCATTTTCTAGATCCCAATTTTCGGAGATCAATTTCTCAACGCAAAAATGTTGAGCCGTCACGGAGGAGCGATATCCTACGATAAATACAAGTTGGGAGATTCTAAGAAATTGACGGAGACTGTGAAGGAAGCCATTTCAAACAGTGCATACAATGAGAAAGCATTGCTTCTAGCCAATATTCTTCAGAGTCAACCTATTCAACCAAAAAATAACTTGCTGAAGCATGCAGAGTTTGTTGCAAGGTGATATATAAAACATCTGAAAACCAGACAAGCTATTTTTCAGATTCGGAAGAGTGCATGCATTGGAACCCTACAATGTTCATTACAATTTCATTAGGTACTACATGTTGGATGCATATGCCATTCTTCTTTCAATTTTCATTGTTTCCTTATACGTGTTTCATTTTATTGTCAAATTTTTATATAGACGAATCTGCAGATCCAAGCCAAAAACAGAGTAATAAGAGTATTTAAAAATAAACATGTTTTGATACATACAATAAAGTAGACAATTACGATTCTAGATATTTTCTAGTACATTCTGGATCTTGGTAATTTATGAAAAATGCTTTGGCTCCTCCACTTTTGGTCGTTGTAGGTTTCATGAACACAAAACTGGAGTTGTTTTGCATTGGTTTTATCATTTCAGCCCATTGATTTCCATGCCCTTTAGGAACTTCTATTATCATTTGGCATATGGTGATTCCTTGTTTGCTCAGCCATCCATCTCTCTTCAAATAATCCCAAAAGGAGAACTTTCCATAGTATGGATTAATCCATAGAATGTCTATTTTCTAGAATTACAAATCGGTTAGAATCGTTCCTACAGTTTAAAAATTACCGTCAAATTTAAGTCCTTTATATATTCTTCGATCTTCTTTTGATCCATTGTTTTGTTCACAAGAACGCCTGTAATAATTACCGTTTCATGTGAAAGGAAATATTAAAAACCAACATACCATTTTCCATAACTTCCATCTTAACTGAATCAGCTTCTTTACCGATCGCAACGTTTTCGAAATGCTCATACACACGACTAGCGTTTATGAGGCCACTAGTGCCGTACATTTTTAAATTTGGAATCTTCTCTTCCAGCCAACTCTCTGCATTCGTTTCTTTTTCGACTCCTAAAGTGACCATTGTATTGTTTTCGTTCTACAATAAGTTAAATGGAGAGAGTTCATAACCGATAATAAAGTTTTTACACATTTAGGGAATATAACCCATCGATCGTTTGCGATTTCTGTGACATCGATATTTCGAATCTCTTCTTCGTCGTCACAAACCGAGAGAACTGAACTAAAATTGAAGAGAAGACCTTCTGGATTTCCAAAAAACCGTGTGAGCAGCGGGAAAACACATTTCAGAAAACTCTTTTGAATCGTTTTCAAGTTCAATTTCGGTTTTTCGAGCTCTTCATTTAGATCGCAGGGTGGAAGGGAATCATAATTAAATGGTGGAAGTGGTTTCTAAAAATGTTCCGAAATTTGTCTTAAATCTTTAATTACCTTTGTGGTCTCATCGTTGTCTTCTACGGCTACTATGATCTTGTCCGCTGGTACGATTTTCCTATTTGAATCGTACTGAATGAAATGAATCATTAGAACTGTAATAGCAAATAGCGAGATCACATAAAACAATGCTACACAAAGTCGCTGGTTTGGATCTGAACAGAACTCAAATATAAGCGGGGAATTGAATTAGCTCACTTACTAAATTTGTTTCGATCCATGACTTACGCTCAATGATCTCCAAATCGAAAATATAAATTCGTTGACTGTCAAGGTATGTTTCATTTAAAGATTCTATCTTAACTTTTTTAGCGTTTGAAACAAAAAAGTTTTCGCATCGGATTGTTACGAACGGATCTAGCCGTCTGGGTGTATGACGTTATATGGAAAAGAAAAATTTGTTGGAAACTGTCTCAAATTCAGGAAAAAATCAATATGTTTAGAAAAATGTATACTTTTATGTACAAACAAAAAAAAAAGAACAACAGTTCCACACTCATTGTAAATATTTCCTAACACATTCTGGATCTGCAACATTCAGAAGATAGGTTCTTATCAGTTCTCCACCTTCCGTTGCCATTGGTCTCATGAAGATAAATCTCTTTTCTTGTACCAAAGGATTAATCAATTTGAACCATTTGTCCGCATCATTCTTTGTGATTTCGATATTGATTTGGCATACTTTGACTCCCATTTTTTCAAACTCTCCGTCTTTGTTCAGATATTTCTCGTACTTAAAGTTTCCCGCATTTGGAGTTATCCACAGCATATCGATTTTCTGAAAAAAAGTTTTTTAAAGTTAAAAATTTGAAGCTAGAAATACGCACATATGTTCCTACAGTCACATTGAAGAACTCTCGCTGATCCACAGTAGCCACAAAGTTTTTGTCAGAGAATTTATCATTCGAATCAACCATTGAAATTTCGTGATCATCTGTGGAAAGAGCGACTTGATTGAACTTTCCATACGCATTATTCTTCCCGTGGAATGGATCAGTTCCAAAAGTCTCCAGATCTTTCAGAAGTTTCTTTATATCCTCTTCTGACTTTGTGTTCTCACTGGCTCCCAAAGTGACCAATGTAGTTTTTTCTTGCTGAAATTCAATAACTAAATTGGAAATTGAAACTTCAAACTAACGCAAGTAGGAAGAACAGCCCAGTACTGCTTCTGTCCGTTGTCAAATGATATCAATGGAATTCTGGATGACAGGTCTTCTTCATCACAAACATAAATTGTATACGGCCAATTGAACAGCATTCCTTGAGGATTCATTGCAAATCGGAGGAGAATCATTGATGCACATTTGAAAAACTCGTTCGCAATAGCTTCGGCATTATGAAGAGGTTTTGGAGAGTCTGTACTGAAATCACAGGCTGGAAGTTCTTCGTATTTGTAAGGGATCAGGGGAGGCTGAAAACTTTCAGAATTCAAAATGATATACGAAATTTTCTAGATCATACCGAAGGAGTTGTAGTAAATGGTAGTTTTTGTCCTGATTCCTGTTCAGCGACAATATTTCTGGGATGTTCCGCATAGTTCTGTTCCTGTGAATCGATTGTTTCATCGTCATAACTCAAAAAATTGACAGCCAGGAAGACAACAATCAGGATTATGCCACAATAGTAAAATACACTTTTTCGGTATCGATAAAATTCTGAAATTATGATAGCTTATATTTTTAAAAAATGAAATCAAACCTTTAAACTTTTCTGTATTGGCAGAAAAATCGTTTCGAAGCAATTGGTAGTTGACCATTTTTCTTCAATGAAACGCCAGCTTCTTTCAAATTTTTGGATAGATGAATCCGGAAAAAGCGGAGATTCCAATCTTTTTTTGCCATTTCCTTGCATTCTATGCGAAACAAAAAAGAAATGAGAAGTCCAAATAGATTCAAAATGTTTCATTCATCGCAAATACTTTCGAATACAATACGGATGCTTGATATTCAAAAAATACGCATACAACTGTTTTGGGTTTTCTTTAATTTCAGATCGAAGGAAAATATAAGTTTCAGATTCCAACAAATTTGAAATTAGTTTCGAAAAGGTATTTCCATCGTTTCGTTCAACTTCCAAATTGAACTGGCATACGATGATTCCAAGTCTTTCGAATTGTCCTTTTTTAGAAAAATATGACCAATATTCGAATTCTCCTCCGTCGATGTTGATCCATAGCATATCGATTATCTGAAAATATGTTTATAAAAGAACTTGAATTGAAAAAATCTTCTCACATTTTGTTTGATGATGTTCTTGAAAAATGAAGAAACCGAAACATCTTTCAGCTCCATAATCTCCCCATTGTTATCATAAACCGTTTGCAGTCCGGTGTCATTAATTCCAATAGCATAATTATAAAAGTGATCGTAATCCTCGTGCTTGAACCCATATGCACTAGTTCCGTAGGAATTCAATTGTTTAAATTTCTTGTTCATCAAACGAATCGCTTTCGAATCTTTCCCGATTCCCAATGTTACCAATACGCGTTGCTCTTCACATTTCGGCGAAACTCCCCAATAGAATTTTTCGTTTCCTGGATACTGGTCCACTTGGATGTTTTTAACTCCATTTTCCTTTTCACATACAGAAATAATTAACGGGTAAAGAAGAAGAAATTGATTTGGATTTCTTTCCAATTTATTCCACAAACTACGTATGCAAGAATATTGGATATTGATAAATTCGTTATAGTGTTTTGTGGTAGAAGATGTTGCGTTATGACAAATTGAAAAAGAATTGTCTTGGTTTTCAGAGTCAATATGTTCTGGGTTCAAGGGAATAAAATAAGCTTCAAGAGAAGTTAAGAAAAAGAATACAATAATAAGTACAATTATTGAAAAGCAGAAAATAACAGAACTACATTGGATAGTCATTTGATCTACCTCCGCACTCCATATTCAAATTCTCCTTTCCTTTTCTCATCCTGTGTGTCGGAAAATCTCATAGATTTAAATCTTCGTGGGAAAATTTTCATAAAAAGACTTCAATTTGAATACACTTTCTTTAAAAAAAATAACAACAAGTTTATTATGACATTTCTAACAGTGATACCCGAAATATTGAATGATCGGTATAGTTGAACTATAGTTATAAAATGGCAGTAGCTGGATCCGTTTTTCGGGAAATACAATGACAAATCTTCTTGAGTATCCGGTCATTCACACAAAATGATGTGTTTCCGTATCTAAAATAAATTTGAAAGCTTTTAAAGTTTCGGTCCAACTATCAACTCGCTTATTGTTTCTTTCAATTTCTCCCAATGAAGACCATGTATCCGTTTTCAAGTTATGTTCGAGTGTGGATTCAATCAACGCATTGCTCGGTGGCTTTGCCCGGACAACAATATGATATCTGAAATATATTTTTTTGGTTCTTAAATCCTTATGAATTTTATAATGTGAGGCCATACGGAAACGACGTGAATATTGTTTCCATAATTTTCTAAAAATGTGTACTGCAAAAGAAGAAAAACGTCTCCAGAAGACGTCAGAAACAAAATTTTGAAAATAGAAAAGATCGGGCATAATCTAATAAAAATTTATGATTCATCTATCTAAATTCCAGCTTAAACGGTTAACTTTGAGTGGGTGAACAGTCACGATACATACATTCTCACATACAGAATTTGCTGTTTGTTATCAGAAATGAGCCTCACATAACTTACTGTAACGAGAAAGACTGCAATGGTGTATCCACCGATTTGATATCATTGACAACACTCAGCATGGGTAATCGGACAGATGAGTACTCAATATTATTGAATTCCATAGGAGTGCACATGTACTCTTTCAGTTCTTTCGAATCCTGTTCGTACTCTTCTGTCTGTTCCGTATTCTCTAGTAGTTCATTCACTATTATCATCAACTCTCCTGCTGCTTCTAAAGCTTCAGTTTTCGGGATCTCAATCTCCGAAAAGCACGGACAGAAATCGGATGGAATCTAGAATAAGGATGAGCGTTCCGATAAGAATCAGAATGAAAAAAAAACGAAATAGAAAACTTACACCTGCTTCGAAACATCCTGTTCGTTTTGGGAAGGGATCAAAGTATGAGTAGCTTCGTTTCAGATCAGTGCGTGTTATAGTTTCTCCGATTCTACCACTTGCTATTTTTCGAAGAGAATCATTTACATCAAATTGTGTTGTCATCAATTTAGAGTTTGCAATCAGATTTTGAATAATCTGTAATCAAAGTATTTACTTTTTGAAGGTTAAATTTACTCACAAATGGATACTTCTTTGTGACAGCATCTGGTATTTTAATAGAATGAAATGGCATTCTTGATTCAATCCTTCCAATTACCGTCTCTCTAATCTTATCGTATCTGTGTCCGTGGTCTGAGAAAACTATGACAACAGAATCTTCTAATCGTTTCTCATTCTTTTTGAAGAATTCTTCAAAATCATCATCGGTTCTTCCAATCAGATTCAGAAACCCATGGCTCATATCTTGTGACCACCAAAATGCGAATTTCCGTTTCTTTTCATACTTTTCCAGAAACCTGTCAACCAGAGAATTCGTAGCATATATGATGCATAGACCACACTTTTTGTGGAATATCACAGAATGATAAGAGCAAAAACTTACTTTTCAATGTACTCCAACTGAATTTTGTGTTGTGGTTTGTTATCGTAACACGAAGCGGCAGATCGTCTAGAAATAAGTGACCAGAATGCGGATATCCAGAATGGACGTAGATAATGGTCCGTTGGTTGTTGAAGAAATCCACGAAGAAGATTCTTGTAAGTGAATGTTCCAATATCAGGACGGTCTTCGGAAAAAAGTGTTGCATATCCATTCTCACTAAATGTTTTCCAAACAAAATCATATTCATCGAATGCAATATGCCAACTTTCATTCATTTCAGCTTTGAATTCCTGTACAATAAAATGTCTATAGAACTGCATTTATTCTGTTTACCTGCACACTAACGCCTCGTTTTCCAGTCAGAATGGCTAGTAGATTTCCATATGTGTTATCGTGAATCTTCATGTGCCCTTTCATATCAATAAATCCAGAATCTTTCATATATTTGTAGGTTTTTGGCATCTGTCGAATGAAATTGCTTCGAGACATTGAATCCAGACCAATCATGATAACAGAAGGAAAGTCCGGAGTGGATTCCTGGATTTGTTTGTTTTTTAAATTTGCCTTTTTGGGAATAATTTGAGCATAATGATATTTGAAGAACTCGGTTTTCAGCATATTATCAGATTCACACGATATCTGGAACATTTCTTCTGGAATCTCCACTGTCAAAGATTTTGAAAGATCCAAAAGCACAGCTGTTCCATATTTCACATCCAAATCTGTTACATTCTCATCATGACTGAGTTCTACTTTGTAGCATTTGGCATTTTTCACAAGGCTCTCGTCAAACTGAAATAACTGTTTCAGGGGCTCTCAATATATAATTTCTCACAGTTATTATTCCATTTTCAAAAGACTTTACAGCTTGAACTTGCACAGGAGAACATACGAGAGAAGAAGGTTTTGAATAATATGAAAGAATACTTGGATCCCATGGATCCACTTCTGGAATCACACATTCCGAATTCTGTTGATTCTCTCGAAGTTGCTGAAAAATCAAAGTTCGTTTATCTTTTCAAAAAAAAAGAATGAAAAAGACTTGCCTGAAGGTAAATGAAATGGGGATGCTTGGAGTAGTCTGTTTCCGTCCGTAAAAACCCGTAATAAGTTACAAAACATATCGAGCACAAAAAGAAGATTTTTGAATAGTAGGTAATGTAATGCGAATAACTATGCAGTACTCGTGGAAGAATCATTGCGATTCAGACGAATTCAAGACACACACACACACAGAGTGCCAAGAAGAAGAAGAACCCACGTTCGTTGCTCCGATTTAACTGAAAATTGAGGGCTTCGAAGTTGTATTGTATTGTATTTATTACGTAAAAAATACGTGGAAGAATAAAAAGAAAAAAGAAAGAAAAAGAGAATAAATAGACAAAAAGGGACATGGTGACATAAAATTGATAATTCTTAACCTAGACATGAATAATAGTGGATAATAACAAATCTTTTTCCGAACTTCTGACAGCAGCAGGCTTCTAGATCCGTTTTGTAGAGCTCATCATTTTACTAAGAACCCCATGTGTGAAGAAGTTTTGTTTAAGTTTAGACTTTGGAGTTTTCCATTGGTAGGTGTGGCGGCTGCGCGTTTTTGTCGATCTAATTTTAAAATATGATAAATGATTTATATTAATTTTACCTAGAATGAGTTTGTTGAAGAATTTCAGATCAAGCTTTTCCCGTCTAGATTGTAGTGATTCTAGGCTGAATTCGGTCAATCTGTCTTGAGATGTTTTGTAATCCTTATCAATTCTCGTTAAGTTTCTACCCACTATTCTATTCATCAATTTTCTAGTGAAGGAGCTTTGCACTTTCTCTATATTGTCAACGAGCAGTTTTTTAGAAGGGCTGGCTACCACCGTTCCATATTCCAAATACGGTCGCACGTCCGTAAAAACCCGTAATAAGTTACAAAACATATCGAGCACAAAAAGAAGATTTTTGAATAGTAGGTAATGTAATGCGAATAACTATGCAGTACTCGTAAAAGAATCATTGCGATTCAGACGAATTCAAGACACACACACACACCCACAGAGTGCCAAGAAGAAGAAGAACCCACGTTCGTTGCTCCGATTTAACTGAAAATTGAGGGCTTCGAAGTTCGTGTTCACCAGGACATGGAAAGTTTAGCAGGACATCCAATTCTAGAAATTGAGTCAGAGAAGACATTTAAAAAACGTTTTTCTGGGCGTTGACAATGTTTTATGTTTGCAAAAAAAACATGCAACTATGTAAAAAGTAAAAAAAAAAGTTCGAATGTTCAAAACGGGAGCGTTTCCCTGGAAATGCATGGAAACATAATATAGCAAAGTCAGAAGAGAAAAGAAATGAAAGAAAGAGCAAATCTCGACAAGGGGATGCCACTCCAAAAACAATGAAATGTGTTAGAAATTCAGGATTCATGCAGAAGAGCAGTTGACTGAACAAAATGAGCAGAAAGAAGAAAAATAAAAAAAAGAGCAGAGCGGAGTGGGAGGTGTTTCAACACACACATTTTCTTTTTGATATTCTGAACTTTAAAAGTTTGTGGTTTATTTCTGTGCAATAAATGGGTTGACCATCGGGCACGGAATGGAAAAGAAAAGTGGGCGAGGACGACACAAACTCTATCGGGGAGAAATAAAAATAATCGTTTATTTCAACGAGAAAATGCTGCGAGGAAACATCTAATTCTAGGTTCAAAAATTCATATTTTTGTTCTCTGAAATTTCATAACACTTTCTGAAAATTTATAAGACGTTTGTGCGAACTGAGTGCAGCTGGCTTTGTGCTATGATGTATAGGAAATTGAAAAGATAGAAAGTACAACTTTCGATATTCTAGATTGAAGAAAAACTTATTCATATTGCTGTTTTTCACTATTTTGACTGATTTCTTTATTGTGTGTAAAGGAAGTAATGATGTCAGATTGAAAATTTTGCAATTTTGTTGGGAGTGAGATTGAATGGATAAACTATGTATAAATCTAAACTTTGAAAGTAATTCGTATTTTTCTTTTTTGATTTCTCTTGTGTATTCTAACACTTGTTTATATTCGAATTCTATGATTTCATCCTGCACAGGACGTTTCCAGGACAAGAAAGCCAACATTTGAAGATTTTAAACTACATATATTCTTGATTTTTATTGATAACAGATGAATTTAATCTTTCAGGATTACTCCACAGTCAGCCAGAATTCATTGAATACATTTGAAACGCGTAACGGAAATCTGAAAAAAATACCTGAAAACTTAGAACATGAGGATTTCACTAATTACAGAGTGGCTATTAATTATTGACACCGATTCAAGCCTTCATAACTCTCCTAAAACTGGATGACAAATTTTAAAATTTTGGATTAAATAATTCCAGACGCACAAAATTTTTAATAATATAAAAGTTTTCGAATCTTCCTCTATTCGCTCTGCTAACAGCCTTCAGAAAATTTGGGCAAATTCTCTTATACAACCATCTCTTATACTACCTTTCTCTTATACTACCGAGTCTTTTTTACTACCACTGTCTCTTATACTACTTTTTTTCAATGTGTCTCTCATACTACCAAGTCTCTTTTACTACCAAGGTTTCTTATACTACTTTTTACCACTGAGTCTCCCATACTACCAAAAGAAACAAGGCTTTCGGCCTAAGCCTATAGTTGGCAAAAAATTTGGAGGGTACAAGGGGGACTGATTTAGGGGTACAAAATTGGTGATTCGAGGGTACAAAATTCGTAGGTACAAAAATTCGGGGGTGAAAACTACCAATGATTCTGGGGTACAACCCATTTCATTTAGGGGTACAACGCTTGTGATTCGGGGGTACAGTTTTTTTGAAGGAGTTTCTGATTTTCAGAGCTTGAAAATCTCAGAATTCTTAGAATTTCAGAACTTTGGAATTTCAGTATTTCGGAATCTGAGAATTTCAGAACTTCAAAATCTCAGAATTTCAGGGCCTCAAAACCTCAGAATTTCAGAACTTCACAATCTCAATAGTTCTGAATTTTCAAAAATTACGGCAGAAAATGTTCTTTTCTCATTCCCTTTTGATTGTTCTTTTTAATTTTGATGTTTAATTTAGGTTTTAAAACCCAGTCCATACTTCCCTCACTACCAATTTTTCTTAAAGGGGGACTCCGACCAAAAATTTTTATTGCATTAAAATGTGTTAAAAGTTATCAATTTTCCGAATATTATTGCGAAAAAATATCCGAAATTTCCGATAAACGGCGTTGAAAAGGAAGAAAATTCAAAAAAAAGGTGCCGCCGGGGGACGAGGATTTTCAGTGAGAAACCTAGGCCACGGCAGCGGGCGCCTTTC